CGACCACACCAGGCACCGCTAAGGGCAGAGAACCCCTCCGAAAAAGGATGAAATGAACATCTATCTACATGTGGAATGCTGTGGCTCCCGGAACACTGACAGCCAGACCTACACCCTCCAGGAAGGAAACAGGAAAACCTGTGTTAGAGACAACCTGATAAGCTCAAAAGGGAAGATGCAAGATGAGATAATCAGGAGTTCTTCAATAAAAGGCCCAGCCAGATCACCCTAACAGAAGTTCATAATCAATATGTCCCATCCACTAGCTCAGAACTTCCTCATTCTTAAATACCCCTATATTAATATTCTCGGAGAGATATGATATTGCACCCAAGAATGTTTTTTTAATTCATAGGAAAAACTCCTTGAAATTAAAAATTTTGAAGGCAGTATTAAAACTCAATAGGAAATGAAAGATAAAGAAGAAATCTAGGAAATAAACAAAGAAAGGAAAAAGATGAAAAACAGAAAAGGAAGATTACAGGATAATTCAAGAGGTTCAACTTTCAAATAATATGATGTCTAGAATGAGAGAACAGAGAAAATAGGGGTAAGAAAAAAATCAGTTACCCTAAAACAATCTCCACGCTGAAGGACATGATTCCAGACTGAAAGGGCTCCCCTAATGCCCAGCATAACGTATGAAAATACACCTCAATGAGGAACTACCACTGTAAAGTTTCTTCCAGGAAGAATAAACAAGTCAGGAATCTGAATGGCTTTGAATTTCCCAAAAGCAGTCTTCAGAGCTGAACGTCAATGAGGAGTGCTTTCAAAATTCCGAAGAAAAATTATAATCTAAAACTCTGTTTTGCTAAACTACCGAGTGTTTGTATAAAATTAGGATATTTTCAGACATGCAAGGTGTGAAAAACATTTCCCTCTTATGTACCCAGTGCTTAAATATCTCCCATGGAAGAAATTCCACGAACTCGCCCTATAACTGACCAAGAGGGAGGCAGGCGTGGGATACAGACCAGGACATCGCAACTCGAAGTGCAGGCAATCCCCAGCGTGGCGGCGGAAGAATGCAGGAGGACAGCAGTGTCCAGACACAGGGCCACCGGTTCGGGCAGGAGCAAGTGTGAATGCTTCAGGAGAGATTTACTGAAAAAAGGAATCCGTCCAATACCCGATGTCTAGATGTGTTAAGAGGAGATTGACAGAACTGGAAGACAGTCAACAGATGAAGTAGTGATAAGTAGATGAAAAACTGAGCTGATGTGGGGGTAGAGGGAGAGACAATGAATAATTCTAGGAAAGAGTAATGCAGGAGAAACAATATTATACGACATGGCTACACTGTGATCAGCATTTAGGTAGTCATGATCATGTAAATAGTAAATACTGATCTAACCAAAATTTCAGTATACTTCTATCAGGAGGATGGTGGAGGGGGGGGATTTGAAGGACATATATATGTATTTTGGGGTACAAGGGTGAAGGAGAACTATATTCTCATTTTCCACAGTAAGAAGTCAACAGAAAAGGCCTAAAACTGGTAAGTCAAGAAGTAGTTATATGTTCATGTTATTTAGAGATATGGATTAATGTCCAAAAGAATCAACGGAGAGTAAAAAATGGTTCTCTGAAGAGTGAGAACAGGCAGCCGGGAACACGTGTTTTTCCTAACAAGTCTTGTAGAACTACTGCAGCCTTTAAACTATGTGCATGTACTACTGTGACAAAACTAAAATTTTTACTAACACGTAAATATAAATATTTTTGCCCCTCTCCTCAAAAAAATAAAACAACCCCTCCCCCCCAAAATAGATATACTTTGCATATGACTTTTGGGACCTTCCTGGACTAGAGGTTAGGGCCCCGAAGCAAGGCTCCCAAGAGCAGAGGATCCCACGACTCCACTTCCACCCCAGCTGCCCCTCCTCTCTGCACCATCTTAGTAGAGAATGTAAGTTTTAGAAAAGGAGTTTTCCAAACCGAATCAATATGGCCTTAAGGAAGTATCCCTTATTGTGCCCAAAGCCGTCATACGGTGAAGTGGGGACCCAGCCCTTCAGACTAGCACACCTTCCAGGTGTGTAAGCAGATGCCCACAGCTGGCACGTGACGGTTCTGGCTCTGAGCTGCGTCAGAGGAAATGGAAAGCACAGCCGAAGGGAAGTCGGCCAAATGAAGGAGTGTTTTTGACACAGAGGCAGACGCTGTATGAACCCCCCAATATACTATAAGGGTTCTGAGTCGCACAGCTTAGAGTATGGTGGAAGCTGAATGGACTCCGTCAGTGTTCACATTCACACCTCTCCCCGCTGGCCCTGTGTTATAATCTGTTTCTATCGGAACTGGCTGCTAGCTGACCCAGAGACGAAACAGGGTGAGGGTTCTGGACAGGAAACTACATTGGGTCCTGAAGCGAGCCCTTTTCACCACTGCATGACGCTCGCATTCCTTGTGACCAGTCTTTGAAGTGAACCAGAGGTTGTAGCTTTTAATGGAAAGTCATTCTGAAACTGTATCATATGTGATGCTAACAGGTTTAGAACCCAAACAACAGTGTCTAAACCTTTTTGCTTCCAAATAAGTGAAGTTACTTGCTGGAAACCATCCCAGGAAGGACTTTTAGTTTGGTTTTTCTTTAAATTATTTTTAAAAATTTTTTTTCCTTTTATTGATTTTCAAGAGAGAGGAAGTAAGAGGGAGAGAGAGACAGAAACATCGATTGAGAGAGAACATCGACTGGCTGCCTCCTGCATGTCCCCCACTGGGGATTGGGCCCACAACCTGGCATGTGACCTGACCAGGAATCGAACCGGTGACTTCTTGGTGCATGGGTTGATGCTCAACCACTGAGCCATGCTGGCCGGACTGGTTTTTCTTTAAACTATTTACAAACCTATTTCTATATTAACAAGAATTAAAAATTCCTCCTTAAGTCTTTGGTTTGGGGCAGGACAGAGCAGTAATGACAAACCTCAGAATTTAATGAGGAGCAATATATGCAATAAACCAGACTTGGATATTATCAGGCTTGTGAGCTTGGCTATGGACAAGAGACGAGGTTATCAGAGGGAGTTCAGTGGGGTGTGTTCCAATAGTGAGTGCCATTTGGTTTCCCTGTTCTGCCTGGACCTGGCTTCCTGGAGCTACCTGGCCGGAGATTAGCTTTCAGGGTTTGAGGGTGTAGCTCTATGACCAAGGCCAGTCATGGTTCAGCAGGCCTATATTAAGTGTCTTTGAGTGACTAGCCCATAGAACATCCTCAGGGCCACAGTGTCTTCTTGGAGTACTTTCAAGTCCATTCCCAATGTACAGCATGAGCTGCTAGCAGCTCTCGAACCCCACAGTCATGCAAGAGGTTAGAAAAAGCTGCCAAGAACTGTTAGTTTGAGATCTGAACATGTCAGTAGACAAAATTATTCCCTCTACCATGCTACTCTGCTAAAAGATGTTCCTTCTGGTGTTTGTATAAACTTCATGAGGAAGAATATTCATAAACTGATTCAGATGCTTGCATATCCTCAGAATCATTACACGTAAGAGTCTTACTTTCTCTGTCTCACGTGAAATATACTGTACTCAAAGGTTGCTGATTAGGAACTAATACTGAGGACTCAAAGCCCCACTATTAAACTCTCCTAAACTTTTGCTTTGGATTGTGTGACTTTCCCGTGCTAGGCACCAAAGGACTCACTCATTCCTCTCCTGCAATAACCTAAAATAGCTCAGCTGGAGGATGCTGCACTTGAGGTGAAGATTCTGATGAGGATTAAGGTCCGACTTGTCAAAATGCCCTTCAGCACCTCTCTCCTCTTTAAAGCGCCATCCTTGCAGCTTGGATAGTTGGATGGCCCATGGTGAGGCCAAAGGTCGACATTCAGTGGTTCACTGGAAAGTAATGACATTCTAAACAGTAAGGCTGGGTCTGCCATTGGCCTCTGACTGATCAATCCAGCAGTTTACCTAGATTCAAAATACAGCAAGTCCTCACTTAATGTCACCTATCAGCTCTGCAACTTTAAGTGAAACAACATATAGAACCAGTTTTACCATAGGCTAATTGACAGAAAGAAGAGTCAGGTTTCCCAAGCATTCTTAGGGTATCTCATCAAGGTTATAATGAAACGAGTTGAACAAAACAATGTTATTTGAGGACCTGCTATATAAACTACAATATCTAACCAGCTGGCTAGATATGCCCAAAGTGCATGCCCTTCCCTCCCATCTTTGCGAAGCACCTAAGAAGGAGCAATAGAAGGACAGCCCCTCTGTCCCTTCCCCACTGCACTACAGACTCCCCTTGCTGAGCGACCACTCTATTGAAATCTGAACAGGTTTTCTGTGAAAGCCAGAATGGTTCGGCCTTGGCAAGGGGCAGGAGGAAGGGCACGTTAGAATTTGGGACAGGGGAGAGTGTAACTTGAAAATAAAGTGCTTCGTTTCACCATTTTTATTTGTTTACAATTTATGAAAATATATTTTGAAAATTTAAATAACTTTATAGAAAGACATGATAATTTTATGTTTATCAAAGAGGATGTGATACAAATTTTTTAAAGGTTGAGAAATTTTGGTTTAAACCACTGACTAGGGACTCTGGGGGACAGTGCTCAGCACCTTGGCAGATGTGGCAATGAAATCTTGGCTTCCCTTTTCCCTTCCTGCCCACTTATATTTCTATTCTGAAGTCTTTAGCATTGAGGGAATGGTTTATATTTCCAGTTTTTCTATATTACCTTCCTTTAATTAAACCCAAACCACAAAATAGCTTTATTAGAAGCTGAACTTTACCAACATCTCAATTACAATTAACATAAGTAGTTTAAACATCCCTTTCCTAAAACTGTTTAAAGCAAATTATTATTATTATTTTTCAAAACCCAATTTATACCAAATATGTAAATGTGAAAATAGGGGGAATGAACTTTCTCTCTCTTTCATTCATTATTTCATCCATTCATCCACACCATGAAACCCCGAGAGTCCGCTGTGTGGCAGGCACACAGGATGGGAGCCAGCTACTACTCAACAGTCACACTCACCTGTGTGGGAATAGATGTACCACAGGGCTCCCGTGAGGAGTGCTCCAATCACAAATGCTGCAAACGCAATGCCCATCACAGTTATGGTGTCCAGACCATGGAAAATTGCTGAGGAAGGGAAACCAATACACACTTTAAATTAGTCTGCATCATACGTGGCGATTTTATATTTGTTTCACAAGCACTGTCAGAAAGGCTGAGCACCAATTAGTAAAATCTGAGGATAAAATGAGGAGTCCAACAAAATATATTGTATTTATAACTTGCAAATTTTTTCTCAAAAGAAAAATGATCAGATTTCCAAGATATCTTCAGTTTGCAATTACTCTGAGCAACAAATTTACTAAAAATATCAGATTTGTAAACTCTGTAAAACCTTAAGTCTATGGTTCATTGCATCAGTGAGGACCTACTATTTGAATAGTAAAGAGGCTTAAAAATTCAGAGGTTAAGATACTTTGGAAAATAAGGTGAACTTCCATTATCAAAATCTGACTCATTGCTTCTTATTCATTGAACACTGCCAACAATGAGACACTGCACAGAAAACGCACTTCAAATACTTAACAAAAATATGTTCATGCACATTTAAAAGTAGGAAAGATAGTAAGAAGAAAGGGGTGAGAAGGAGAAAACACAAAATAAAGATAAAATATTCCTGTGGACTATAACATTTCACTGATATCCTCATAGTAAACTCTCAATCTTAACAACTACATACTGCGTCATTTAAAATAACCTACTTTTTAACACTTTTCCAACTGTAATCTTTCTATAAGGGGAACGGAAATACTTCTCAGTGGGGAGCGATGTCAGCTTTAAGGTCAGCAAAACATAGAAATAGAACCAATTGTTTCTCTGTTTGGCAAAGATTTTTATATTTGAAATTAATTCCAGGCCACAGAAATAGAACATTTCCTTTCATTTACGAGAACTACCTTCTTTGAATCACTTATAAAAAGTTAACATCAGTTTCCAAGGGAGAGGGGTTTTCAGTACAATAAAGACTTCTAAGGTCTCTGTTTCTATAATGTAATATTAAGCTATAGGTTCTCCCCATTATTTCAATGCTGTCTCTATGTTCCTCGCGGTCAGAAGCAACTCCCGCTGACTTCTATACAAATTAAATCTCTTTGCCTTTCAACTCACTTCAGTGTGAAAGATTTAGTTGTAGACAAATGTGACCCTTCAGCAGCCCCAGAAAAGGTGCAAGAAAAGTATGTCACAGTGGAGATTCTGGAAGGATCCAAATTCCCACGTTCTGGTCCCTATTGGTTTAGCCAGCACCCTTTGGTGTTTATTTAACTTCTTAAAAATGGGGCTAGCTCTACTTCACCTGCTGAAGGCAGGGGCTGAACAAAAGGAATTTGTGAAGGGCTGGGGATCCTACGAGGGCCTACAAGGAGTAAAAAAAAAAAAAAAGGGAAGAACTCTCTGTAAGTTAAGATGAATCAAGCCATCTGCCTAATTTAATTTAGTTTGCAGAACAGATGTTGAAAGATGACTTGCCTTTTTAGGCCTACAGATCCAAAAGTGGGGCATGATTGAAAGGTTTCAGTGAAAACAGTCTAAAATTTTAAAGATGGAGATGTTTTGTATGAAAATCAGGCTAGGTAAGCATGAGAGAATTGTCTCTTCCTGGGTTCATGATACTCTTCCAATAGAATGGTCTATAAAGTGCTTTGCAGAAAGGAATCCTCTAGATTGATGGTCATGTGTTTGTGATGGAGTCAGCCATGGAGACTAATTTGGAGAGTTGTAGGGAAGGAAAAGAAGCACCATTTCTCCTCACAGGAAACATCATCTAGAAGAGCTCTGAGGTGTATGGCCAGGAAGCCTAGGTTCTGGTCCTCCCTCAATGTTAGTTACAACCGTGGGCAAGTTACTCAGTTGTTTCTGGATCAGAGTTTTCTTCCAAATACAGTGATGATGTTGGCCCAGATAATTTCCCATGCACCACTTTGTCTTAGTTGGTCTCCCCCTGCCCTCTCTCTTTTCTTAGAAGCCGTTGCCCTAGCCCAGCCGGTGTGGCACAGTGGACTGAATGTTGTTCCATGGACTGAGGGGTCCCGGTTTGCTTCCCGTTCATGACACGTGCCTGGGTTTCAGGCTTGATCCCCAGTGGAGGGTGTGCAAAAGGCAGCCGATCGATGTGTCTCTCTCACATCGATGTTTCTATCTCTCCCTCTAGAAAATCAATAAAAACATTTTTTTAAAGGAAGCCGTCTCCCCAAACACCCCTTAGACTAGAGATTGTCTTGAAGGTACAACCGGTTCCCTTAGCTCTACTTCTCTGAGTGGGTAAATACTGCTGATGTCAGGCAAAGCAAACCACTCCTACAGCTGTACGTTAATGCTTTCAGATCACGACTGACATAAGTATGCAAATAACAAACGTCTCTCTCTAAAACTAAGAAAGTTAATACTTCTCCATTAAGGTCATACACACCGATGGGTCAACAAGTTCATATTTAAAACTGGCAAAGGGTCAGAGGGGAAGAGAAAGGAGAACGAAGTAAGGACAGAGAAAAGGGAAAAGAAAGTATGAGAAAAACGGGGGGAAGGGGGAGTAAAAGCATTAAGTCTCCTTATCAAAACTCAAAGTTTGGCAAATGCTCCATAACCAACTCATTCTTATAAAAACCCAGGAGGCTTTATTTCGAAAGAGTTGCATAAAGACTTACGTGGAGAAATTGGATTCGGTTCCTTAACGCTTGGACCTGGTCCTGAAACAAAAACATAAATCACGATGTATTACACAGAGAAATCAAGTTTTAGGCAAAAGGTCATCAAAACCTCAGTGGAGACTGACACTTTTCCGTCTGTTAGCGTTTTGTGAAAGCTCTGTCAACTGTCCTCTTAGACACCAAAACTATAACATGAATTACTCAGAAATGTTAAGCACTGGACTGTAACGATCAATTGTACAGGCTGTCTGATTTGAAAAAAACTTGAAGGCAAACACCTAAACTTAACGAATTTGAGCCTGACAATGTGTGTGTGTGTGTGTGTGTGTGTGTATACCTTTATAGTTATTTAGAAAAGGATTCAATACCTTTATTTTTTTCTTTAAAATTTTTTTTTCTTTATTGATTTTTAGAGAGAGAGGAAGGGAGAGGGAAAGAGACAGAAGCATCGATGAGAGAGAACATCGACTGGGCACCTCCTGCATGCCCCTCACTGGGAATTGGGCCCACAACCTGGGCATGTGTCCTGACTAGGATCGAATCAGCAACCTCTTGGTGCGTGGGTCGATGCTCAACCACTGAGCCACACCAGCCAGGCTGGATACAATACCTTTAAATGCCACATTTATCCAGTGTATTCATGATGTTATTCCTGATTTAATGTACACAGGTTCTATAAGAGTATCTGTACTCTTTTTTTTTTTTTAATCCTCACCCAAGAATATTTTTACATTGATCATCACACAGAGTGGGAAGAAGGGAGAGAGAGAGAGAAAAGAAGAGAGAGAGAAAAATTGATGTGAGAGAGACACATCGACTGGTTGCCTCCCACAGGACCTAACCAGGGCTGGGGACAAACTGCAACTGAGGTACATACCCTTGACCGGAATCAAACCTGTGACTCACTGGTCCACAGGCCGACACTCTAACCACTGAGCCAAAGTGGCCAGGGCTATCTTTACTCTTTATCCTTAATGCTACTGTCCTGTAGCTGAGCTCCTCTTCTTCACACATCTGCACTATTACAGAGCTTCCCTAACTGCTCTGTGCCTCCACCACAGCTTCCACTCCAAATATTTCCTGCTCCATATATGCGTCCCCCAGAGTGAATTTTCCAGAGCCCAGAGGTGGTTATGCTATGGCCATAACTAAAACACTCAATGACTCCCCTTCATTTATAATATTTATAATTAAAAATATTCACTCTCAGCACAGCACACAAAGTTCTGCCACCCTCCTCTCCCCACCTCTCTCCAGCCTTCTTTCCTAATGGGGTCCTTCACCTATGCCGGGCTCCTCAGTTATTTAAGCTCCCCAAATTCTCTGTGTTGCTCCATGCTGTCATGCTTTGTAAGTCATCCCTGAAATACCCTCCTCCCCAGACCTGCTTGGTTGATGTTTTCACTGGGAAGCCTCGCTGACTCTCCCAGGCCCCATGTCCACCCCAGCAGGGCTGCTGTCTCCCACTTCTGCTCATTCATCCCTCTTCTGTTACACATGGACCACACCACATCGTAATTCTCTATTTTTCTCCGAGCGCAGAGTCTAGTTCTTACTTGGCCCGGCATAGCATGGGCCTGCTGGAATTGTTTGGTGATGGATATTAGCATGTTGATGTAGTTTTTAAGAGTAAAGGCAAAAGAAGAGTCTTGGAATAAGACTGTGAAAATGCTTGTGTGCCTCCTCATTTCTATCATGCTTTCGTGTTTAGAAAGCACTGCGTAGACACAATCTCATTTGGGGTTCACACCAGCCCTGTGAGGGTAGCAGGGAAAAAAAGCATCACTATTTTACAAACGAGCAGCCTGAGACTGATATCATGGGACTAGCCCAAGGTCACAGCTGGAAAGCATCAGGGCAGGGGTTGAACCAGAATTCCAGATTCTGCCTCGTAGGCTAAATGACTGGTGAGTGTTGCTCTGTCCCGAGCTGGGCAAGCAGCGATGGAGCAGCTACCTATGTGCATCTGCTCACTCGCCCCAGCAGGGAGAACAGCAGGGAGGGGGGCAGCACAGCCTGGCCCAGCACTTGTTTTTATGTGGCCCGTAAATGAAGAAGACGTTTTATTATTTTTTAATGGTTGAAAAATATCTAAAGAATAATATTTTATGACATGTAAAAAATGATATGAAATTCAAATTTATTCCATAAATAAAGTTTTCTGTGAACGTAACCACTCCCCTTCATTCTCATCTGGTCTGCGCCCGGCAGTGCTGAGCAGCGGGGCAGGGGCTGTAGACCCGCAGCGAAGATACTCACTGCCCGGTCCTTCCCGGACAGAGGCTGCTGAGTCCTGGCGCAGACTCTGCCCCTCCTCTTTAGAGTTTAAAGGTGGTAAGTGCTCAGCACTCTTCATCTCCATTTTTTCAGCAAAGGAGTACACACTTTGTGTTGGGCTCCACAGTGAAGCGAGAAGAACTTGTGAAAAATTGACCAAACACAAGCAACACTTGAGTTGCTGTTTATACAAACAAAGAAGCGAGGCAGGACTGTGGAAGCTCTGGAATAACCGTCTGGGCTGGGCTGGCGCATCCTGCTCCCGGGACAGCAGGGCGGGCTCCGGGGGGAACGCTACCGGCGGGATCGGAGCCGCTGCCGGAAGGGCGCGTCCTGAGCTGTGCAACGTGGTGGCACCAGGATGAGTTATACTTAAAAAAAAATTACTAAGAAAATTAAAATAATTGTGCGATTTTAAGAAAATCGAATTCAGTATGCAGAACGCACGCCAACTACAACATGCCCACAAGATACTCTTGCCTAGGAATTTGGTCTTATCGGCCTCATTGGCAGCAATAAAATAAAGACAATGACACTTTACATGTGTACATTTGTATAGTGTTTTATAATTGACAAAAAAGCTTTCACCTACATTTTTTCATTTTAAACTCCCAAGAACCCTATGAAATAAGGGCAGTTAACCACAACATTCTCCTACTTTCAAGAAGTAATGGTTTGATTTGCTGAACTAAGTCCAAAGGCATTTAAAGGTCTCCACAGTGTGCATCATGTGAGAAATATACACACTTCTGGGAACAGTTCCATCCAATTAACTACCCATGGTTCAATTTTGTCACTTAGAATCCCCGAGAGGTTTTAAATAATGATTCTCCCCTAAGGAGACCTCCGTGCAAGAATTTAGGTTTTACAGCAAGGCCTGTGTGATGGATGGCATTGTTTTAAATTTCTTAATGGACTTATGTTATGATCTAATCCTCTTCCCCCAACCCCAAATGGGGGCCTTCTCACAGAGCTAAGCAGAAAAAGTTGTTGCCTATGTCCTGGGGGGAAAGTTCCTCCGTGATTTCTGTGCATAAACAATAACAAGCACAAGCTGCAGAACTGAGGTTAGAGGACTTCATCCTCTAACTTTTTTGTTTCAAACTCCCCGATCAGTCTGGAGTGGAGCTGAGAGTGTGCGCCCCGCTGCAACCCTGGGATGGAGCTGGCACACTGGAAGGAAAAGACTGGACACTCCGATATTTCCTTCTGTTAAGGGTAAGATTGTAAGGAAGGAATCCTGGCTATTACTGTAAAAAGAACTTTAACAATACAGAGTTCTTTACAGAAAGAACAAGCTATAATCAACATTCTGAATTAAATTCTTTCATATGCTCTGAGCAAATTTTGGTCAACCTCTAGAACCAACATGTTCCTCCTTGGAGTGTCAGGCATGGCTTTCATAAACGGGATATTTCTGGGGTTATGCATGAGTAACTGACCACAACTTTTCGCCTCCAACTTTCAATTCCGTTATCCTAATCACGGTGGAATCGAGCAGGCCCAGAGGGAAACAAGGTGTGTAACTGGTACCCACATCTGTTGGTGTTTGGCAAACAGGACAGGGTGGGGAGATAAAGAGGCTGGAGACTCAGGAGGCCTTTATGTACGTCACATGTAAGATACAGTTTTTACTAACTTTCCTTCACTGTGAATGAGCCCTTCTCTGGGCTGTTTCAATATTTATGGCATTTGTTGCAATTGCCTGGCCACTTATCTGTATCCTTCCACTAGGATCAAGAGTACTCACCTGAAGGTGAGTCTGCCCTCTGCCCTCCAGACATTTAACTGTGTCTGGAGACATTTCGGGTTGTCACAGCTGATCATGGAGGAGTGTGCTATGGGCAGCTGGTGGGTAAGGGCCAGGGATGCTGCTCAACACCCTCCAATGCACAGAACAGCTCCCCACAACAAATGCCATCTGGGCGTTATCCAAACAAAACATCAAAGTGCTGAGGCTGTGAAACTCTGCACTACACTGTAAAGGCCTTAAAGGCAGGACAGTTTATTTACTATCTGCCAAGCACATAGTAGGTACTCAATAAACATTTTTGGGGGAATAAGTAACCATAAATATCATGTGTATCTTACTATTGTGATCTGATCATCAGCTCCCTACTGGAGACCTTTGGATGGTTTTTACCTTTGAGAGGTGCATACTGGAATATTTATGGATGAAATGAAATGTCTGGGTTTTCTTCAAAACAATCCAGGGACAGGAAGTGATCAAACAAGATTGGCTATGAATTGGTAATTGCTGAAACCAGATGGAGGGTTCATGGGAGTTCATTCTACTATTCTATTTTTGTATGACTTTGAAATTTTCCAGAGTAAAAAATTTTTTACATGTGAAACACACTGAATAAAAACAAATTCCTATGATACCTCTTCTCCCTTATGGGATAGAAATGGAGCGTCCTGGTCTGTCCATTAAGCATTTGTACATTTCTTTCTACCCAGCTTCCCCCCTTCTCTACCTCAGCCTGAGGGCAAAACCTGGCTGGTGCTTTAGAGTATTTTTGTTCTGGAAAAACCAAATGTGTTCCAAAAAGTAACGCCTCTCTTGGATTAACTTCCAACTGACGTTCACAACTTTCCCTTCCATTCCCTCCACCTTCATCCAAAAACTTAGTTTGGCTGACAGATTATGGGTAAGGAAAGTAAATTAACATTTACTGAGCGCCCAGGATATGCCGGGTGCTGTCCTGAGCACACCTTTATTTTGTAAAAATTATGTGGTAGAAATATGGAAAAAATTCAGTATTTCAAACATTTAACGTGCTCATTTTAACTCACTGAGAATTACATATGGTATATAAATCACGGCAAATTTGGGATGATATCCATTGTTCTTTTGTGCCCCATATTTTTGTGTATGTGCCCAAAATTTTGGAGCCCAGTTTCAGAGAAATGATTACTCTTCCCCTTCACCATAAAAAAAAAAAAAAAAAAAAAATCATCACTGACGTGGTAAGACCAGTTTTATTGTGGAAGCCCAAGTGTTCTCAAGTGCTGTAAAAAGTGGTCGCAGTGTCCAAAGCAAACAGTGCTCACATGCCTATACTTCAAAATATGTCAGAAAATATGGGAGGATGGCATCACCTCAACTATTTTAATTGTTCTGCCATAAACCATAACATGCACACGCTCTTCATGTTTTCTGGGCGTTTTTGTGAGGGATAATTCAAAGTCACAGAACTTCTTCTAAATGTTAGCACTCTCTTAAATAGTTACATATGTCCCAAAATCTTAACCCTTTGTGGGAACATTTTTCTAAAATTCTTCATCTTCTTTTCCATTCATAGTGTGTTAACTATGTTACTTGTTGTTTTTATTAAAAACTGGAATCACTTCCACCTAGGACAAGGCACAGACTCTGGAATCAGTGTCTGGAGTTGAATCCCAGGGCTGCCATTTACACGTGGTGTGACCCTGGCCAAGTGACTTAGCCCCACACTATACCTACCTCACGAGAGGCTAAGAGGATTAAATGTAACCCATATGAAGCTTTTAGCACAGAACTTTGTATTAAGTAAATGCTCAAAAAATGTTAGATAATCAACATCTCCATCACATCATCTATTACTGCAAGTTTACACAGCAAAAGAATGCTCACCCAACGCCGGCTCCCAAGACCCTGAGAAATCAAAAGTGACAAAGATGTGCTGGAGGAGCTCAGGAAATTTCCACTAATAACAGTGGCTCAGAGGAGGGACCCAGAATTATTTATTTAGTCTTGATGGCCCGGTCTCTCTGTCCACAGAGGGAAGAACCCTGCTTGAAATGTGTCCACGTTATTGGCTGCGGTGGCCCTGAGCAGATCTCTGCCTGGCTATGAAGTTGACAACAGGAGCCTTTATCAGCTGCCCCACAAAACTCAAGTACTGAGAAATCCGATGACCCCAAGGACTAGACCTCTGGATGGCCTTCAAAGAGCACCTGTACAGTAAAAGGATAATGAAATGTGCCATTGGTTGGAAAATTTTTACCCTAAATGTCAATTCCAATAGGAGACCTGCCTACACCCAGAGATAATATAGTATCTGTGTCTTACTATAGTAACACACAGAGCTGTCTGGAAGGAAGAAATGATCCTGCTATTAGGCAAATGCCACATTCCCCTTTCAAAGGACTATTCCAATGCACTGAGAGGCAGAGGAAAAACACAGACGCAAATGGCCTGTAATGAGGAGAAATCATTTAGAGTCAAAGGAAAATAAACATGAAAGGTGAGAGAAGTCACTCCGAGAGCTGAAAACTCCGAAAATCTGAAAATCTACTCCATTCAGTGCCAAGTTAGAAAGCATCTTTGCATACAGCCCCTGGGAAGTGGCCTACGGCCTAACCTCCTCAATTTGTTTAACAAATCTAAGCAATAAACTTTCGTCACTACATGCTTCTCCACCAAAATCTAGTCTCAATTAGCAAATCTCATGAAAGCACTTTGATATTTGGTAAAACTTTCCTCTTGAACTTTATGTAAAGAAAACACTGAACTTTCAGGATAATTGCACTGTTTAAATAAAAGCAACTGCCTAATTTACAAGAAGAATTACTTAGAAAAATACCACCAGACTTAAAAAGAAGAATGAATGAATTACTGGAAGTTATACTGCTGCAATATTAAAGCCTAATTATTGTCTGGCATAGGAAAAAGCAAGCTGCTGCCTTCAATTACCAGCAGAATTACCTCTCTCAAAATAGGTAAGAGGAACAGATGGAGTAGAGGTAGCTATTGCTATTGTTACACCACTTGCACAGTGCAAAACAGCCAGCTGTTGCCCAACTGTGATACACTTTACAACACAATTAATTTCTTCTTCTTTCCCCTGGACCCAATAAACAAGGAACCCAATATTTGGGCAATCCATTTATTGAAAGACAATAGCTGTTATAACTGTTTCAGATGGTTAAAAATCAACTTAAAAAAAGCAAAACAAACAACAATAATAAAAACATTGCTGAAGAGCCAATAAACATAGAATATGTACATTTTGCACCAACTTTTGGGTGGATGGGAAATGAAGAATAGATTATTTGCTTCTTCAAACAGTATAGCTGAGTGTTACAGCTGAAAGGCCTCTAGAAGACGTCTGGCCCAAACCCCTCCTTTTCCAGATAAAGAAAATGAAATCCAAGGCCAAGAGGGGAGATCTCCGAAGTCCCACCGCCAGTTATCAGGGAAAGCTAAGAGCTGCCCCCAGCTCCTGGCTCTAAACCAGTGCCCTCCCCACTACCCTCTCCTGCCTTTCTGAAGTGAGCGTGTTCCTGGGAAGGGGGCAGATGTCATCACCAGACATGACAATAGGAATGGCACTGCTATTTTCACAAAGGTCACTCAACTGGACAGCATCCACGTGCCTTGTTCTGTTAGGTCCTGTTTGCTCCAGGTCCGCCCCTGCTGCCTGGTCTTGCCAAATCCAACAATGCTCAGATGAGAAACTCCATCCCAGAGCTGCCCCAAGCCTGCATCTGGTGTCAGCACCATCCAGCAGGCCTCTCAGCTAATGCCCAGCAACTGGAGTCAGGCTGCTCCCTGGCTTTTGTCAAGGCCCTGAGTGCCGGTGACAGGCTCCTCTCTGCCCCTCGGAGGTAGAAGACTGCCTTGGGCTCTAGCCCTGAAATAGTTACCCTAGAGGCTTGAAATCTAGCCCTGGCCAGTTTGGTTCAGTGGTTAGAGCATCAGCCTGCGGTCCAGAGAGACCCGCTAAGTTCCCGCTAAGGGCACGTACCTTGGTTGCAGTTTGTCCCCGGCCCTGGTTGGGTTGTGCGGGTGGTGGCCACTCGATGTGTCCCTTTCACGTCGATGTTTCTCTCTCTCTCTCTCTTCTTCTCTCTCCCTCCCGCTCTGTCTGAACAAAAAATGGAAAAATGTCCTCGAGTGAGGATTAAAAAAAAAAAAGAAATCTACTTCACTCTCCCAGTCTTCTCTTAGTTTGGTACCTCTAGACCACATTTCTGGATAGTCATATGTTTTTTTTCAGACAGTGACAACTGTAACTGCCCATGTGACATTTGCTTCCACCCTATCAGATGGGGACAGGTGCCTGGTGTGTTCCTGCTTTTTCATGCCCTTGGTTGAAACTGTGATGTTGCCCCCTGTCAGATCAGACCACAGGGCCTCACATCCACTCCTAACAGCCAGCCCCACAGAGCCCAGCTCTGCTTCTCTGCTGGTCCTCCCAGGTGCTGGTGCCACAGCTCTCAGAGTGTATCGTTCCTGTTCTCCTAGAGGAGGCACCCTGCCGAACGCTCCTGCTGCATGTGCAGAGAGAGCCATCCTTGGCTTCAAGCAACAAACGTGACTGCGTAAAATTCTGAAAACTGAATTATAACAACACATTTGAATACTAGTTTCTCAACCTTCTTTCTGCTGTGACACTTAAGATGGATGGTCTTTCCCTACAGAACACCCTCCTCAAAGGTGTCCACGCCCCTGACAAAGCACTACAACAGCTTGTAGCCAGCACAACTGCACCCAGGAGATCATGGAAAGATGGGCTATAGACTGTGTCATTCCAGCATGCCAGGAGAAATTCGAACCCTTTCTTACACACCCAAGGAAGCACATTTGAATGCAAGAGAGAGACAATGTGACAGGGACAACCTTGACTCTGATCTAATGTTCAAAGAGGAAACCATTTGCAAATGTATCACTAATCACTGAACCACACATCAGTAGGACAAAACTAAATAAAAAACTCCTCAGGCAAAGAATCCCTTTCTAACATTATTAACTAGCCATTAATATACTTTTTGAATACAACTGGACTTTGATTTACAATATTGGAACCTCTTAGCAAGCAGCCCTGAGGCCCCTGTTCTCTGATTGAGCCTCCCAAAACACACCTTTCGATTCTACTTCGTGATAGGTCACAGCAAGGGGCTTGGTGAACGTCTTCTTATTCTGCATCATGGTCCAGATCATTGAGGCATCCAGTGAGGTGCAGGCTTCATCGGGAGGCACGCACTGCAGAGAGGCAGAGCACAGCAGAGTCAGGGGTCACTCGAGAGGGCCTTCACCAGCTCAGCCTGCACAGCTGTCCGGTGTCCCTTATCAGACAGCTCACAGCTGGTTACCACAGAAAAACAGGAGATCTGGGTGTTTTCCAAAGAACCACAAATAATCTGAAAGCTATAGTGGCAGGCCCAGTGTATTCTCAGCTGCACTTAAAGATGCAAATATTGCTAGACAGCTTATAAATATTGTCATCTCCCCTCCCCCGTCTCCCCACAAAACAACTGGAGGTTTTAGTGTTATTTAATGTGAAAAATAAAGGAACTATATGACAAATGTTGGCCCTTGACCAAGCCGGCTTCACATAAATGGTTCGTGTTTACGATCTGTGATTGTGGGAAACTTCATGTATTATTGCATTATGAAGGTGACAGATTTTACATTTGTTGTTCAAAAAGATAATCATGTTGTCAAGTTTGCTTGATTTTTTAAAAATCCTGGTAAAGGTCATGCAAAATGAAGCTTTCCAAGGTCATCTGTTTTTATTGTTCCAAAACAGAGTCTAGGGGTTGTGCCCAGGTGTGGATGCCATGAGATCAGCTGCTTCTAGCTATTCTAACTTAGAACTAGTGTGCCCAAGCCCAGTGGACCTGTTTTTTTAAAAGTATAATCACATTCTATTAACTTTTTCTTTGATTCCTTGTCTGTGCTCATGAATAAGTGAAACTCTAATGTAATCAATATCTATTTGTTTCTGTTGTAAGAAGAATTATATCGACCATTTAAAAAGTTCATAGATGTCCGGCTGGTGTGGCTCAGGGGTTGAGCATCAATCCATGCACCAAGAGATCGCCAGTTCGATTCCTGGTCAGGGCACATGCCTAGGTTGTGAGCCAAATCCCCAGTGGGGGGCGTGCAGGAGGCAGCTGATCAATGTTCTCTCTCACTGATGTTTCTCTCTCTCTCCCTCTCACTTCCTCTCTCTCTCAAATCAATAAAGATAAATAAATAAGTAAATAAATAAATAAATAAATAGTCCGTAGCAAGGCACCCCAAAGAGAATTAAGTCCCAGCTCTTCCAATCACAAAAGGTCAAAGAATTTGGGCTTTACCGTCATTGCTACTCTGAGAAACACGCAAGTCAGACACCTGTTATAAGCTGACCTGCATCCAAAAGCACGGAAAAGCCTTTACAATAGCCCTCTTGTCAAGGGAAACAATGAATTTTCTGTGAAGAGGCATCATTATTGAAAATATTTGTATTAGCCCTGGCCGGTCCGGCTCAGCGGTGAGAGCACCGGCCTGTGAACCAGAGAGTCCTGGGTTCGGTTCCCACTAAGGGCACGTACCTCGGTTGCAGTTTGTCCCCGGCCCTGGTTGGGGTCGTGTGGGTAGCAGCCACTCGATGTGTCTCTCTCATGTCGATGTTTCTCCCCCCACCCCCCCACCCCTGGCTCTATCTGAAGATAAATGCAACAACAACAACAAAAAATGTCCTCGGGTGAGGATAAAAAAAAAAAAGAAAATATGTGCATTTTAAGAAAAGATTTCTAACTTTCCTACTAGTTCTTCAGTTAAGTAAGAGCCTAAGAGTCTACGATTAACTCACTATGTGACTCTGGCCTCAGTTTCAGCAGCAAAGGGCAGGGTCAGACTCAACAATCTTTGAGGCTGCTTCCTAGAAGTCTGCTGTCACAGAAAGCACTCAGAAGTCACTAGAAATATGAAAATATTAACTATAAGCAGGAAACTGGGAGGCAGTGGGAACAGTTCATCCTAAGTCACTGCTGTGTAAGTGGTGAACTATCATCATATCTACCATCTCATTTGCTCCTCTACCCAGGGGGGAAGCCAGGGACGACTACTTCAGTTTTATAGTTGTGGAAAGGCTGGCTCTGAGAGGGCATGGGATTTGCTTAAGGGCCTGTTAATAAGTAGCAGGGCTTCCTTGGTAGTCCCCACGCCTCTCCACGGTATCTCACCTTGGGTGTATACAGCGACCTTAGGTTTAGGGTAACATCCCATGTCATCCCCTGGGACTCAGAGCTCTCCTTAGAATGTTCTGAAGGATCCCTGGCCGGTTTGGCGCAGGGGTTAGAGTCAGCCCTTGGACCAAAGAGTCTTGGGTTCAATTCCCATTCAAGGGCATGTACCTCGGTTGCAGGTTTGACCCTGACCCTGGTCAAGGTCATGTGAGTGGCAACCAATTGATGTGTGTCGTGTCCCTCCCTCCCTCCTACTCTATCTAAAAATCAACAGAAAAATTATCCTGGGGTGAGGATTAAAAAAAAAGAAAAAAGAAAATACCCAGCCAGTGTGGCTCAGTGGTTGAACGTCGACCCATGCACAAAGAGGTCGCTGGTTCCATCCCAGTCAGGGCACATGCCCAGGTTGTGGGCCAAAACCCCAGTGGGGGGCATGCAGGAGGCAGCCAGTCGATGTTCTCTGTCACTGATGTTCCTATTTCTCTCTCCCTCTTCTTTCCTCTCTCTCTAAAATTGGTAAAGAAAAAAAATATTTTAAAAAAAGAGTGTTCTGAAGAAAATATTAGAACTAATTTTTACAGATGGACACACTATGAAGCTGGCCTTCCACAGGCCAGGCTTAGTGAACGGTAACAGCCAAAGCCATCAATAAACACCCCCAGTAACTGCTAGGCACCCCCTGCCAGATCCCTAACTCCTAAAAGTCATCCTTTGCCTGTGAACACAGCTGGGTCTCATAGCCAAGCATTCTGTCCCCCGTGGCCTCTACCACTGCCCACCAAGCCTCAACTTTGCTGGCCACTGAAGGTAAACGCCACCAGGGTAAGGTACCAACGTTTCCAAAAGCAACTTAAAGAACACAGTCTACATCACTTTATATGTATGAGGCTGTTAATGACTGTGATCAGATTTGCTGTATTTTCATATGTTCTACAAAATTTTATTTGGTATTATCAGGGAAATAGATGCCCAGAGGAATATAATAGTACAGAGGATTCAGATCAATAGTAATTTATCTGATACTGATCATTGTTCTTCCTGCCTCCACACGTATCTCTTACAACCTATGTATTAGGTGAGAATTCATATATACAACATGTTATTAATGACACAGTTCAATTATTAGACTTCTAGACATTGCTTGATATGTAACTACAAAAGGCTAAGAAGTTAGCTTACATTGTGTAAAATATCTGCAGAATACACATATGAAATTATACATAATTACGGCAGATCACAGAAACAAAACCACAGCAGAAGACGCTTCATGCATGAAGTCAGCCTAATGAGGTCCATAATTTGCTGACCCCCCTATAGTAGCCATTCCAGCAAAGTCACAGGCTCCTGATTTCTGTACAGATGTACTGGTTCAATATGGGGAGTGGTAAGAGGTAAACATGATGAACTGATATGGAGCTGAGAAAATTTAAATATTTGTTAGTTTCCCTCAGAAGTCCTCCTGAGACAAGTCAACCTTATAACTCACACAGAGAAGGTCAAAAAACAATTGCAATACGAGTCTCAGTGGGACTGGAAAAATTAATCCTCACACTGAACTTGTCCTTTCGGCTCTCTGTATTTTTGGCACTACACACTATCTGAACAGCAAAGATAAAGCCAAACCACTCCCTTGGTGGAAAATAGTCTTGATTTATCATCAGTAAGATACTATTACTTAACATGCACGGAAAAAAAAATCATACCGTCAGGGTTTATTCTCTAAGGCTCCAGAAAACTCCCAGTTCCCTGCTCACATGGACTTGATTACTTGCACTGGGCAGTTCCCAAACCAAAACCCTCCACCTGCACTAACTTGTAATTAAGCGTCTCCGGTAAGTCACACTGCCTCACCTAAAAATGTCATAGTAACAGTATAAAATGGGCGAAGTCCCACGAACCTTAGGTAACTTCTGGGGGTCCCTTTCCTCCTCGGTACATAACGTGAGCTCACACTGCAGAAACAGCAGGGAAGTGTTGAAGACGGGCTTAAAGACAAAACTGAATCTCTTCTTATCCATCTCAGCGTGCGTGATAGGAAAGCGCACTTTCTTGGTACTGTAGAATTTCACAGATTCGTCTTTAGGACAAATGTTCTCAATGATGGTGTAATCAGACATCCTATCAGGGTTCGAATATGGAGAGATAAAGCACGTTTGGATGGCAAATCCCAGTTCTTGGTCAGCCTTAGTAACAGACACCTATGAAGCAATGAAAAATCAATAAAGAAACACGTTAAAAACTCACTTGTACTTTAGACACAAGGGTAACACACCAACACGGCCCTACTGAGGAGAGACATCTCTTTATTTTCACAACATACATCTATAGTCTCCTTTCTAATGATAGAAGAAACATATACACTCTTTGAAGAAAGATATTTTCTATTTAAACTTGATATGGATGGTGACGGTGAATTATTTAGTTCAAATGCCAGCCTGGAGAATTCCAGTACAAAATGACTAAGTCTCTTCAACCTCCCATAAGTCCTCTGGGAGATAAAAATAAAAGCAAAGTAGATTTTCCAAAATAAATAAAACACCAACAGGCAAAGCCCCAATGTCATAACAGTGCATTTGTAAGGCAAGCTCTTTTTTAAAAACTACTTAGAAAACAGAGGCAGAAACTATTTAACCCAGGCAGGGAGTACTGAACTTCCACACTGCAACAAGTCAGAGCCTAAAACATTGCAGCAAAGTGACCGATTCGTCTGAAGTCCCGCTTCACGGGAACAGGCAAAGCAGGCCCCAGTAGCTAGATGGGGCTACGGTGCAATCTGGTGGCGATCACGGGCCTGGCAAAGTGTCCCAGCAGCTCACAGGTCCAAACCAGGCCTTGCCAAGTACTCTCCCTTCACTCTTTAAGCCCAATGGTATTTCAAGGGAAATCTAATCGGGAAACGTTTCCGACTCATTTACACTTCCCTCTTACAAAACATTTGTACGGGCTATGTCCAGACCTTGTTAAAGTTCTTTTCTTTAGAAACAGGAAGTAGTGTTTGGCCAAGTGTAAACAGAATTCAAACCTCAACTATCCTGAACTCAGCTAATATTCCCAGACCAGACTGGATTCTCCAATGGGTGACACGTGGATCACTGTGCAAACTGCCTCCCTGCTCTATGCTTCATTCCTTGACTAAACTTAGGATCAAAATAAACTTAAAACACGTCAGAAATAAAGTTAGGCCTTAACCATTTGGCCAATAGCCCCAGAATCCTTTCAAAAGGCATGGAGATATAAACACATTTTCCATTCTGAGAAACCCTGGGGAAATCCCTGACATCGCATGGGGCTTTCAGCCACAGCGCTACTTTACAAGATCCTTCGTGGTTAACTACAAGACGCTCTACAATGAAGATGACGATCGTGTCTCTTTGTTGTGCCTGCAAGCTTAATCCCGCAGAACAATCTTGTAAGTATTTTCATCTCTACTTTATAGACAGAGGAAAAACTGAACACAGAATAGATGACTTCTCAAGATCATATCTAGCAAATACCGGGTACCAAAGCTTAAAGCCAGATATCCTGATCACAAGGCCATTCTCTTTACTGTTTCACTGTAGCTACAGGGTCAATTCAATCAGGCCCAAGATGTGGCCTTGGGAGAAGACTGGGTAAGAAACATTTCTAGGAAGTAGTGTTTGATAGACTAAGTATTCACGTCATTATTTTTGCAATATTTCTGAAAGGTATTTTATCTTCAAAATACAGCAAACTACATATATCCCACACTTGAACTAAAAAGTGTCCTTTAACAGGAACTCAGAACCCACAACGCAAAACTGTGTGAGAGAAGAAATGTAACCCTTTTCTCTAGTTTCAAAGAAATATGAAATGGCAGAATGTCTAAAGTATCCCAAAAAGTTGTTTTGGAGGAAAAATGTTGTTAAGAAGTCGTCTACTCTAAAATGGACTGGAAATGAGTAGTGGAAGGGCCATAGGCTTTGGAGTGAGACCAACCCCAGGAAATCGTGTGCTCTGCTGCTCATCAACATGAACTCTGACCCTCAGTTTCCTCCCCTTCTGACTGAGGGGTAGACACAGTTATCGTGAGGACTTGGAAAATCAAAATCACATGCAAGCAACACAGCTCCCAGCTACTCAATAAATATCAACTATTATTAGTGGTATTACTCAAGATTTAAAGGGGGGGATTATAAACAGTGTTTTAAATTCTCCAAGACAAATAAAACAAACAAACAAAAAGCTGCTATTATGTGACCAAATGTCAATCAAAGAGGACCAAAGTCCAGGTGGCAAAACGGATCATGTCTTGGAAAAAAGAAGGGACTATGGTCTAGAATGAATAGAGGATTCTGGGAGGGGATATAATAAGGATGGCCAGGAGAAGAAACCTGGAAACAGTTCTTTAGGCCAAGCCAATGATTTAGTGAGTTTTATTTACCCTAAGCAAACAATTTAAAAAAAATGTTAAGAAAAATTTTTTAAAATTTTCTTATTAGCAATAAAATCCAAACTGGGAAACAGAAAATATCCATAGCTGCTATCTTATTTAGAAAATTATTTACAGATTCTCATATTTTAGGTGGTTTAAAACAACCTCAAGATAAAACAGCTTATAACATTTTCCCCCTTCCCAAATCTCTCGATGTACTTGATATTTAAAATGGTAGCAGAGCCTGGCTGGTTTTGCTCAGTGGTTAGAGCCTCAGCCTGTGGACCAGAGAGACCCGGGTTCCCTTCCCACTCAGGGCACACTCCTTGGTTGCAGTTTGTCCCCGGCTCCATGGCCCCGGATGGGGTCGTGTGGGTGGCAACCAGTTCACATCAATGTTTCTCTCTCTCTCTTCCTCCCTCTCTCCCTGAAGATAAATGCAAAAAAATGTCCTCAGGTGAGGATTAAAAAAAAATGGTAGCAGCAAGATTTGGCTCATTTCTTTTTTATCACTTGACAATGTCTTTGATGGAATTTAATTATGAAAAACATAGATGATATATGAAAAGATATAAATGGAAAAATATGAATAAAAACAAACCCATATTTCAAGCAGGCCTACACTGGGGGAAAAGGGAGAAAAACCAAAACACCCAGGGTTGGATACGCAAGGAAGATTGGCCACTGATTATTATAAAGCAGCTAAGCCATAAATTAACAAAGCCAGGCACACATTTGGAAAAGAATAAACTTCAGTTAAGCAGAGCCTCTAAAATCTACGGCGCGACAGGGAGTCACTGACCCACTGCACATGTGGACTGCACAGCCAGCAAAGCAAGAAGAAACAGTGATCTTGGATTAGAAGAGATCTATGATTAGGAACAGCATGTAGAAAGCAGTATATTTTCCCCAGTGGAGAGAGAAGGTGTACCCAAAGAAAGACAAGAGGGAGTTAATAAAGAGGAGAAATTCAGGAAAATGTCTAGAGCCAGCAGGCTTGGTCCCAGAATCAGTACAAATGTGAGAGCTATTTGTCTTTCTAAAATAGAAAGTATGAACACTGAGGTTGCTTTAATATATAGACGCATCCCATTTGACTGGTTAAGCTTCTTACTCCTCCCACTTGAGCACCAGCTTGCAGCCTGGCCCCAAAACCAGCCCAGCAGATGGTGACTCCCCTGTAAGACCAGCGGACATGCTGGGGCCATAAGGAAGGAATCTTCTCTAGAATCCGACCTGTGAACCTGGATATCTGCACTGTTAAGGGGTTACATTTTCTCCCCTTTCAAATGGCACTTGAGAATAAATGATAGTAGCATCTAGTGGATAACAGTGTGGGCTCTGGAGTGAGTCCTGACTCTAAACTCTAGTAGGTACTGTGTGACCTTTAACAAGTTTTTGCCTCAATTTCCCCATTCATAAAATGGGGATATTAAGTCCTGTCACATAGGATTGCTTTGAAGAGTCAATTACTATACACTGAGTTTGGCACAAAATAAATCTGCAATAAATGTTAGCTGTTGTTATTTCATTATTACCACTGCTACCTAATAGTTTTGTAGTCATTCCCGACTTGTGCTGTGCATGATTATTACCACTATATATAAGAAATAGTTTTAATAAACGTACAGATACATTTACATAATGATTTAGACAAAAGAACAATTTTCACAAGATTTCACTAACTTGTGTACAATTTAAAAGATAATACATGAGGTGGTTTGAAATATTTCATGGTTAACTCTGACACTGCAAACTACTAAACTACTGTCCCAAAAATGCTAAGCAAAAACAGCCTTCATTAGAATTCACACTGATGATGTTTTTAAAACATCTGCCTATGAAACACTCTCCATTTAGGATTATGTAACAAATCCTGAAATTTTCTTTGGTGAGAAATCAAGCTGGAAGCATTTTCTGAGCCAAGCCCTCACCCAGAGCTGGTCAAGGGCAGTGAGGAAGAGCAGGAAGGTGTGCTCTGGGGTGTCTTAGCTCACACGCCAGGAGCTACTACAGCTTAGCACTAGCCTGAAGGCCAAGGCTAATGCTGAAATCTCACCTCCACATAAATGTGTCCATTCTCTGGCACGGAGAAGACCCCCTGGGAGGGCATCAGAAAGAGGTCAGTGTTGTATAGCTCCATGTTGAAGGTGACGTTTCTGTTGGGCGGGTCCTGGAATCTACTGGGATTCCCCACCTGCCGAAGGCTGCAGTTAAACTGGGGAAAGAACAAGACATAGATAAATCACAGTCACATGAAGGATGAAGGCCCTGTAACTTTATGAGCTTTGGACTTTAACGTCCAAAAATGTGCCCCCAAGAGTACCTAATTATAGCTAGCCAAAACAGACAACATTCTCCACATACTACCTACTGCAAATAAACACGTACCACCAAAATTTCAGGTCGGCTAAAGTGGGAAGTATCTCCTTCATCCATATCTCCTGGAAATCCATTATCACCTGATTCCAAATCTTCATAACCATCTGGCCAACCACTACTGTCCCCAGGGATTGGAACCTGTATCACAATCTAGAAGGCAAAGAAAGCACAGAGAACGTCATAAGAACACCAGATCACATGCATGTGGTCTTTACACACACACACACACACACACACACACACACACACACACCCCTCCAAGTTTGCTTTGGATTTCTTCTTCAAAGAGATGAAAAAAATAAAGAGAAACTCAATTCATGTTCAAATTAAGACTTGAACTAAAATATGCATCTTCATTTGTGAAAAAATACAAATAATTTCAAACAGTGAGAAAACACTAGACACTGAACTAGGGTCCAATGGAGCTGTCAGTAGGTGTGCCTATATAATGGGGAGGGGAACTTCTCCTGGGAGGCTTCTCTTCATATTAAAAATTCTAAGACCAACTAAGAGCTGGTTAATACAGGGAGTTTTTGTTATCTGTATCCATTGAGATCTGTAAAATGTTTGGTATGAGTTGGCAGCAAAGGACTCGATGTTTACTATTGCGCCATTCTCTGCTCATCTTTTCTCTTGAACTCCTCCATCTTTCCCCCCTTTCTTCCTAAATATCTTTCTCTGTGGTGTACAGATGCCTGAAAGGACATCACGTTTTATTCCATGGCACTGGTTGAAATGATAATTCCTAAGTTAGTTTGGATAAGATGAAAAAATTTACCTAAGGACCATGACTCCGTAAATAAAATCTTAATTTCTTTGCATATGTAGGATAGTTGTGCTCTTTTTTTGTTTGGCGTTTTTGCTTTACATGCTTAGATTCTGAATATGTTGCAAAACAAAAATATATAGTAAGTCTGACAATTGCTACAATTATAACTGAAACAAATAGCTAAAATATTCACTAAAGAGAGTAGAATGGGAAGAGAATATAGGAAAACCAAATCTCTATTCTTTACCAGGTCCTCAAAAGAAAAGTATTGAAGCAAGTACCTAGGATACTGCTTACCCTAGTATCATCTCATCATCACAACTACCACCATAATGTGTATATTTAAGAAGAAAGGGTTTTCAAGGGCTTACAATACACCTTTCTCTTCTGAGGTAAATGACCTTTTTTCTTTGTTTTTACTTGACAGACAGACTGTCATAGCCTCTTACTGGTGTTAATTTAGACATGTTTAAAATTCCAAAATCAAGTACAGTATATCAATAATGTGACATTCATTATATTTGGAAAAACTGGATAATTGCAACAAAAATTATCGTTGGAGTTGACAGGAGGGTGTTCATCATAGAGGTCAAAGGTTCATAAATTATTCCAATAACAAAGGGAGATTAGCTGGGCCAGCCTGGTGTTGAGGAAAGATGAGTGGACGAGAGGTCAGGAAGCTGGAGTCAGTCCTGGCTCTGCCGTTAACTAGGTCCTCAAATCTAAGAAAGTCTTTTAACTCCCTGGAGTTCAATTTCCTCACCTGTGAAATGAGGAAATTGAATTATATCATCTTAGGGTTCTTTCCAGCTCAAACACTCTAAGGTTGTCTAAGGAACAATAAACATGGGCTCACAGGAGAGTCAGTCCCCACATTAGCCAGTGTGATTGGAGTACCTGATTGCCAGTCTTTTCTCTGGATGGGTCAAGAGTAGCTATCTACCGGCAGTGGAGTGAAGGAGAATGAGCCATCTCGCCCTCCCAGTCCCAGGCCAAAGCTGGAATAGGCACCGAGTGCGTGCACACACACACATGCACACACACATGCACACACCCGCGGCAAAGCTAGACAGAGGGATTTTTGAGCCTTATTTATCACCAAAAGTACAATGTGAACTGCAAAATCAACACTATAAACTTCTTTTGAGGTATCATGTGTCAAATTCTTTAATATTTACTGCCGAGGGTCATCTCTGAAAGAACAGGTTTAATCCGAAAGGATTCAGATGAACCGACAAGAGTGATTTCACAAAGTGTAGGTTAGCTGTTGCAATTGATTATCACTGGGGGATCCATGAAATCTCCTTCGGGGTAATTTAAAAGTAGGAGATTTTCTTTGATATAGGGTCTTTCTGAGAGGTGAAGACACACAATAATAATTTGATTGTTCTTTCTGGATTTCTGTCTTTGGCTCTTTGGTTCATGAGGGAGGGAGAACTACTCCTCCCACTTCTGGGCAGGACTCAAATGAGGCCAGAGAGACCAGGAGTCCGGTTGGCTCAGCTGTGTAGATGTGCTCACTCATAGCCCAAGGGCTTGGATTTTATCCTCGTAAGAATCAGGCCATTTGATTCTGCAGTTTAGCCAAAGAGACAGGTCATAATTGCCTTGCCAGTGAACCCTTTTGCACCAGGAGATGGAAGAGATGACCACAAATGCTCCAACCAACAAAACAGGGCCTCCCAACTCTCACAGATTCACCAATAAAGCAAAATACAAAAAAAGTGCAGGGTCAAAGTACATCTCATTCTATTGAGGATGGACACTCTGTCTGGGCCTGGGGTATATGCCCCTCATTTTCATAGAAATGTGAAGACTCGTTGCAAGGTAACACCTTGCAAGGCTCTGCAAAGGGCCAGGCTTCATTGTGGAGAACACTCACAGAGTTGTAGTAAACCACCCCGTGTGTGGCTGACCGCCGGTGCCGAGTACCACAGCCATTCAGAGGAGACTCCAAAATGAAGTGGGTGCCATTCATCTTGGCCTTGCAGTTAGGATCCAACAGGGTGAGCTCCATCCCCGAGTAGCTGCTGGCCTGAAACAACCACCGAAGACGTAAAGAGGGGCCCACAGGCAGCTCTGCAGCACCCAGTTAACAGTTCGCCTGGTCCTTCAAGTCACGGCTGCTGGAGGCCTGCCTCCCGCTCCCCCCTTACCTACCACCTCTCAAACAGGATTGTGTTTGTTGGCCTTGGAAATCCAACAGCAAAATATTGACATACAGGGATCTGGAACCCCCCTTACTGAGAACAACAGAAACCCGGTGAGAATCACAGCCGAGGGGAAGTGAGCCTATCCAACTGAGAAAACAGTGTCAAGTCTCTGGAGTCCAAAAGTAAAAGAGTTAGAGAGCAATAGCTAACACATACGGGGGCAAGCTGGGGAGGACAGTGGCCTTCTCTTCTCTCCTTTAAGGAGCTGCACTGACCTGAAAAGAATCCTTTTCCACAGCCACGGTCATCTTTTCATTGTCACATTTGACTGACAAGGCAACATCCATGCTTCCTTGCACCTCCTCAGGCTCTCTGGGACCAGGAAACAGTCGTAGGCTGGGGATGACAGGGTCCTTTGGCTGGGGGAGCCCATCTTCTGCCCCTTCCTTCTGTCCTTTCCTGGGGATATCCAGGAAAGAAAAGGGGAAACCTCCATTCCGGCCTCCCGCTGGCCGGGTGGGTGGGTCGCCCAGGGTGCCAGGGTCCAGTAGGATCCGTAGCTCAGGAGGGATGGTATGGACTTCCTCATCTCTCATCTCCTCTGCAGGTGAAGAAAGCAAAACATCATCAGGGTCTGATGCCAGGCCACAATCATCATCGTCAGGTGAGAACAGAAGAATGGGCACAGATGAGCATGTGTAAGGTTATTCTTTACAAATAATGTAGGAAAGAGATGAGGACCTGGAAGCCTGAATTCTAGCTCTGATGTTCCTTCTAACTGACACAGTGGCTTTGGGCCGGAGGCTTACTTCTCTGTGCCTTGGTTCCCCCCATTTTAAAGTGAAGAGATTTAGTGATTACTGGGATCAAGTGGTTCTCACAATTGGCTGCACGTTAAAATCACTCTGGAAATGTTTTTTAAAAAGCTCTATGCTCAGGCTGCACCCAAGACCAGTTACAAGTCAGACCCTCTGGAGTGGCACCTAATGGTTAATGTGTTTTAAAGCTCCCCACATGATTCCAGTGCATGGCCAAGGTTGAGAGCCATGTGGTTAGAGAATTTCTAAAGCTATAACAATCTACGATTTGAATAAGTTATGTGGGAGAATATTAGTCTATTCATATGCCATTGAAATAATTCCCTTCAGTCTAGAGATTCTTTTTTTTCTATCCTCACTCAAGGACATTTTTCCATTTTTTTGTTCAGCTAGAGTGGGAGGGAGAGAAAGGAAGAGAGAGAAACATCGACGTGAAAGGGACCTATCGAGTGGCTGCCACCTGCACGACCCAACCAGGGCCAGGGACAAACTGCAACTGAGGTATGTGCCCTCAGTGGGAACTGAACCCGGGTCTCTCGGGACCACAGACCAACGCTCTAACCCCTGAGCCAAACCCACCGGGGCCAGTTTAGAGATTCTTTAGAAGAATTTCTCTAAAGACTCTGAGACTCCTCTTAGACTGCTCAATTCTAATAGGTATCTGGGCACTGTGACCTTTTAGAACATAGACTGGAAAGAGAAAAGAAAAAGCTGCTTAATTTTGTTTTTTTTTTTTCTAAAAAAGCTGCTCAGCTACTTATTCCTTCAAAAGGAGAGACGTATTCCCATTCAATCAATTCTCAGTGCTATTTCATATTGTCAACAATGCAGAGGGGAAGAAACAAAAACACCCTTCCCCCCAGTATTCTCTGCCACCAAAGCCAATTGATGTATGCTTGAGATCAATCCATCTCGGTGAGTGTGGGAGTGAAGATGATCAACGGATATTAACTCTCGTCCAATTCAATCTTGGGTACAAAATAAGTCAGAGCTTTGAAGGGCTTTTACATTTTTACTTTGACAAAAACCTTCACAACAACCCTGTGAGGTAGGTCCTGTTGTTCCCCCACATTACTGAGGTGGAACAATCTGAGGCTCAGAGGTTGAGCAACTTCCCCCCTCAAACAGTGAATAAATGGCAGAGCCAGGACTTGACCCTGCCCTCCTGAGCTTCGTTCCATTGGCACTGCACTCCGCAGTGGCACACTGGGTGAGGAACAGGTCCAGGGGTCAGAAAACTTGGTATTTGAGTCCCTCTAGCTATAAGACTCTGGAAAACCTCAAGAATTTGTTAAGCCTCTGCTTTGTGCTCCATCGAACTGGGGTGATGATGCCTGCATTCCCGCTGGGTGAGAATGAGAAAGCACACGTGAGTCCTCATGACTATTTTCACACAAGGTACAGCCTGACCTAACACCTCTCTCCTGCAGGCTCAGCCCCAATGTCTCAGCTCTGAGTGATTATTAGGCATCTCTGAGAAAGGAAGCTAGGCTAATTTATCCTTGATGAAATCACAGTGAAGGTGAACTTTAACAAAGTTCTCCAACATGTAATTAACTCTGTTACTAAAAAAAAAAAAATCTGCATTAAAGATAGTTCCCGCAAAATAATCTACAATTCTAGATAACTTTAAGCTTCATAATAAAATGCTGTAAAAAAATCATTAAAGTTTACAATAGAAAAACCGAACCATGAAATGTGAGATCCTCATTGGAAAGCTTCATTTGAGGGATATTTTTAATACAGTTAGAAAAAAATCAGACTTACCATTGTTTTCGAGCCGAAGATGAAATCTATTAGCCACAGGAGCCACTGTGTATGATGTCACTGGGATATAGCCATTGTCCGAAGCCCACCTGACCAGATTCTCTTGTGTTGAAGGAATGTCATCTCTCACTGATTTGGTCATTAGCATGGATCTTTCACTCTCTTTCCCAAAGCCAATACTGTTAGGAGCCTAAAGATATTAGCAGAATTTCACTTAGGAGTGTAAACAGTGATTTAAATAATTAAATATCTGAAACAAATAGATTCTATATTTATATACAGAATTTATTTACACTTTTTTTAAAAATTTTTAATCCTCACCCAAGGACATTTTTCCATTTTTATTCAGACAGAGCGGGAGGGAGAGAGAGGAAATGAGAGAGGGAGAAACATCGGCGTGAAAGGGACACATCGAGTAGCTGCCACCCGCACAACCCAACCAGGGCCGGGGACAAACTGCAACCGAGATACATGCCCTTAGCGGGAACCGAACCCGGGTCTCTCTGGACCGCAGGCCGACGCTCTAACCGCAGAGCCAAATCGGCCAGGGCTTTATTTATTCTTTTAATCCCTATTTTCCTTGAACTAAGAACACTGATGTGAAATAAAAATATTTTTTAAACCTCACCCAAGGATATGTTTATTGATTTTAGAGAAACATTGATCAGTTGCCTTCTGCATGCATCCCGAACTGGAATTGAACCCACAACCTTTGTGGTGTATAAAATGATGCTCCAACCAACCAAGCCACCTGGCCAGGGCTGATGTGGAAACCTTTAACAACAGGTCAAGAGAAATCTATCCATGCTGTTTGATCATAGCTATCATTTTGGTTGCTGATGCTGATAAAATAATCCAATTAGTCAGTGGACCCCAATAAATTTAATAAAATAAAGTTTCAAAATATAATCCAATGACAGCTAAGTAGCTACATACTAAGTATATCTAGTATGTGACTGAAGAGTTAATGTTTAAACTATTTTTTTTTTTTTACTCCTCACCGGAGGACATTTTTTCCATTTTTTGTTCAGGTAGAGTGGGAGGGAGAGAGAAGAACAGAGAGAGAGAGAGAAACATCGATGTGAAAGGGACACATCGAGTGGCTGCCACCCGCACAACCGACCAGGGCCGGGGACAAACTGCAACCGAGGTACGCGCCCTTAGCGGGAACCGAACCCGGGTCTCTCAGGACCACAGGCCGACGCTCTAACCGCTGAGCCAAACCGACCAGGGCAATGTTTAAACTATTAAGACACACATACCAAATATGTATGTAAACCAAACTTTCCCTTATTTTTATTTAAAATTATGTATAAAGTATACAGATGTGCATGTTATATTATAGAAAAAAAAAGTCTGTTTCTACTTCCTGTACCCTAGAATTAAATGAAAGAAGGCACAACCTAGTTACTTCAGTAGTAACTAGGAGACTATCTCATCTTTGCAAACTATTAAATTCATATGGTGGAACAACCAATGTTTATATTTCATTTACAATTTATGATCTATTTAGCAATCTTGTAATTGTATTCATCTGCCAATTCTATTAACTAAATAGGCTTAGATTTTGTGTTCTAAATATTCGTTAATTTAGATTACTATGCCTGTAAATCAATGTTTTATCCAGCAATACAAATCAGCTTTCATTTGGTAATCAGTTACAAAATTAAAACGGAATGATAGAAATCTTTCTGAGAAAGGACCTACAAGGACTCTGAGTAGCCAGGACATGGGAGGTAATTTTCCACATCACCTTCTGCCCACTGCAGCAGTGATCTTGTCAGATGACGGGGGAGCTGCCTGTGGCAGAGAGAACCCCAAAGGGAGGGCACCAGGTTTCCAACAACTGCCCCCAGGCCGGCAAGCCTTCCAGCATGCAGATCTGGGCATTTCCATGCTGTGTAACAATCACTTTACTTTCCACGCCCAATTATTTTCTCCTGCATACGCGCAGCATTTTCCCCTAAATTCCCCATTTGTTTCCCATTCTGTTTGCCCCTAACATGACTAAATATTAATCCTTTCCCACTGTAAAACCACAGAGGACTCACTGGCTCTGCGTTTTCTTGGCTTGTTCGGTTGTGGGAGACTGGCGGAGGACACTTTTCAACTCAAAGCTTACAGGAGCTCACCCAGTGTGTTTTTCTATTACCCAAGATGCTTGTCTGAGAAAAAACTGCCACACTGGCCCCTCACAGTCCTGCGTGCAAAGGAACCAGACAGTTTCAACCACGTTCTGTAGCCATTTGTAAAAATAAAACTCAGCTTCATAGGTTTGGGATATTCTAGCTCTTATTCCAATTCCAAGAAAACTCCTCAGGGGGAAGAAAGGGTTAAAAACAGAACGAAAACTAAAATGAGGTAAAGAAGGATCCAATATGTTCTTAGAACCTTTTCTTCATTTAGTCCACGGCGGTTTCTTAAGCACAGCTCCTTCCCAGCCTTTCAAGCGGCGTGTCGTTTGGATTAGCCGGAGTTGTCACGCGGCCTGAACATGACTGCTTGGCCTCATCTGCCCTAGTCTTTTATGTTGTTGGACAGCTGAGAAATACTGTATTTCCAGCATACTATCATCATAACTGCCACCTGTCCTTTCTGTACCAATATGGAGTGATTTGTTTACACCTTTCCACATGATATCTGGGAGCTGTCAGTACAGCTCACATTGATTACGCCTTGGGATTTACAAAGCTACAAATCTATCTACACGTTTGTAAAGCAGCGAGGCTTGGGGCAATGGCGGGCAAGCTGGCTGGCAGCGATGAGTGAATTTCTCACCCTGTATCTCTGGGAGTCGCAGGTCTTTCCAAGGCCTCGTGTAGCTACTCCAAATGGGGGTGTTCAAGGGGGTCTCCAAATACCACTGCCATCTTTCCCATCCACATCTTCATGGAGGATGCTAAGCTAGGTAAACTCTCAGTGCCTTTGCCTCCTCCCCCACCACACAACACACATTTGTATCAGAATAGTTGGTCTAGGAAAGGGTCCTGCGGGAATGGCTGGGCAGAGTGTAGCGCACATTCCCCTGGAAGTTAAAAAAATATCTAACAACAAACTAGCTATTGCCAACCTTAAAGTCCTGAGGCCATGACATATTACAATAAATTTCTAACACATTTCCTCCATCTATTCTTTTATGTTTTGGAGGTTCTTCCAAAATGTGATTATGCATTTTGAAAGAAAAAGGCAGAGCTTGGCATGCAATGTGGACACTTCTGGTATGCCTATCCTTGCCCACATCTCTTTGGACCATTGTGTCATTTGGAGGGTTCATTCTGCTTACACCCAACCCTTCTCTCTCTCTCTCTCTCTCTCTCTCTCTCACACACACACACACACACACACACACCCTCCATGTATAATGAGGCTCTTTAAATTACCTCATCAAGTTCCTTACAAATCCTTTTGTTTTCACTTTGTTTAGGGAAATCAAACAATTTCATTGTTTTCACTTTGTTTAGAGAAGTTAATCGCTCCTATAGACAAACTTTTCTTTTTTTTTTTTTATCCTCACCCGAGGACATTTTTCCATTTTTTGTTCAGATAGAGCGGGAGGGAGAGAGAGGAAGAGAGAGAGAGAGAAACATCGACGTGAAGGGACACATCGAGTGGCTGCCACCCGCACGACCAACCAGGGCCGGGGACAAACTGCAACCGAGGTACATGCCCTTAGCGGGAACCGAACCCGGGTCTCTCTGTACCGCAGGCCGACGCTCCAACTGCTGAGCCAAACCGGCCAGGGCTAGACAAACTTTTCAAGAGTTGCTTCTAGAAGAAAGATGAACTTCCTTTTAATGGCACACGTGCTATGCTAGGAGCTTTACATATGTTATCTTACTTAATTCTCCTCTAAAGTACAAGGAGTTAGGCATTACTATCCCTTTGTTAGAGAAGGGGAACCTGAGGCTCACAGAAGTTAAGAAACACTAGCTGAGAACTCACCACATGCAGTCTGTGTGCCAAGTGCTGTAGATGAAATACCCAGGAGGCACTTGACAAATACTTGTTAAATGAACATCATCACACCCATTTCACAGGTAAGGAAACAGACTCAGAGTTCAATTAGATTACCCAGTCTCCTGGGAGTGATGACAATTGGAGATGGGATCTGAATTCACTCCACCATACTGTCTTTACAGGGAATACTAGAAACAAGGTCACTATAAGCCATCTCCTGCTTTCTAAGCACAAATGTATGCTTTTTTATTAGTAGAATTGGAGATGGGATCTGAATTCACTCCACCATACTGTCTTTACAGGGAATACTAGAAACAAGGTCACTATAAGCCATCTCCTGCTTTCTAAGCACAAATGTATGCCTTTTTATTAGTAGGTAACTTTCACAGCACAGAATTCACATTTGAGACAGGGAGTTAGGAAATCACAAAGCATGAAACTGACTGGGGGAATAAAAAAGAACATCGTGAAACATTACCTAATTGTTTAGTAATGCTGTCATGCATTGTCCAAAATTGGCCTGGAACAGGAGTACAGCCAAGGAGAGAAACATAAACAGATCTTACACTGGGATGAACAATCTCATTTCTAGCCTTTCTGATTCGGACGAAGAGTGGAGGTTTTCAGAGCGAACACCAGGACTGCCATGGACCAGGACACACTCAGGAAGGGTCGGGGCTGAGAGAACATTTACCAAGAACTCCAGCAGGGAACTCAAATGTACCGTATGTTTTTGTCTTTCAAAGCATGATTCCCTTTCCTGCTTTTGTTATTCTGAAATTAAAAACATTTGATTGGTGTGCCAGGCAGCAATGGCTGCAGACACCTCAGGTCATCAACATCCCTCATGCCATGCCAGGGAAGGCAATCAAAACAGCTCCGACATCAGAAAATCACAGCTGGGCTTTCTGCTCAACACCAAATTAATGTATCACCATTACACATGATGGCTTACTGGGATCCTCTCAAAGTTTAAAAAAAAAAAAAAAAAAAAAAAACCACAGGAACCAGAAACGATTACTTTAAATTAAGATGTGTGTGCTCGTGGCTTTGCCTGTTGCCTCTGGTAAGTGTCTGTACATGGCGTTGCCTAGGGGACGGTAGGCTTTGCAAATCTCTGCTGTATCACGTGAAGGTGCCATGAATGAATAATACCCAAACCAAAGGCATCCCTCTTCCAAAACATCAAAAGCATAAAACCCCCTCCAATGGATTCAATGCAGGTACAGAAAGAAGAACTGGTCGCAGTTTTTTTAAAAAAGACAATGCATAAAAATTTGAGCCTGCAAAAAGGATGCTAAAGAGGTCATTATCTTCTTAAAAATCAGAAGGGGGATTTTTCTTTAACTTTCGTTATGATTTGTTCCAATAGTCTGTCAAATAGTTATCTCCCTAAACATATTTGAAAAAGTTTTATTTTACCAAATTTCAACATTCAACTTTTCAAGAACTAGTTGCTGTTTGCCTATCATGCCAACCAGCAAAACCCCCTGAGTGCATTTCCTTCATGAAACATAAAGCTTAGAAAACAGGCCGGGGGCAGGGTTTCTCTGGGTCATCCCACTGCTATCTCCATACTGCGAATCTGTCATCAGTGTTTCGCCCTCAGAAGTTAGAAAAGACATGCAAATACCACGTTTATCTCAAAAGTCGAGAGTGTATGCCTTATAGGACTCAATCATGAAAGGCTTAATTGTGTTCATTATTTTATACTTTCTATGCTGGAAAGTACACTAATACATTTCAGGAATGTCAGAAATGAGACAAATGAGGTCCACAGAGGTTAAGGGACTTGCCCAAGGTCACCGTGTGTAAATGGCAGAGTCTGAAGTCAAATCTGGGTCTGTCTTGACTCCAGGGGCCATGACTTTGACCATCATTGTATTCACCCTTGTCAGGGGAAGCAAGTGGCAGGTTATTTTACAAAGTGCGAGGGTTTTAGAGTCCAAAGAGGCAGAAACTTCATAATAACAACACACATAAACACGGCTTAAATTATTGCCAGTCATCAAAACAAAGAAATGCTCAACCAACTTACAATAACTTTCAGGTTTCCCTTAACATCGAACGATTTGATCACCCAGTTGACAGACTTTTTGCATTTTAAGATCAAGATGAGATTTTTGACCACCTCAGGATCCTTTCGAGAAGGTCTTATGTCAATTATTATATCCACCTGGAAAGCACTGTGAATGGAAAACAAAGGCCGAGTTAGGACCCAAATATGCCAGAAGTTGCAACTATCTCCCCTCTTCCAAGTCTTCATGTTTCCAGTGTCTGGCCAGTTGATTAAAAAGCTGGAGCCGATCCCAGGCCAATGACATGTGCAAAACAGATTGTTAGTGCACACATAACAAAACGGCCTTATATAACAATAGAAAAATATGCCTGCTGATAATTAGCCACTAAACTTTTTCGCCTCTTTGGAAAAAAAAAAAAAGGCGGTTACTTCATGCAGCCACTGTTTGAAATGGACTTGAACACACCAGAAGAGTTTACTTTTAAAGCACAATTGTTGCTTTTTCAACCTTCAACACCTCCAGTGCTTCAATGTGTAACTTTCCATAGATGCTGTATGTTGGAAATTCTTCAGAACCAGGAGTGGCAGCAGCCTGGTGGGGAGAGGTAGCAGGGAGAAGGGGGCGCGGCAGTAAAAACATAGAAAGCTTCAGATAAGAGGCAAAGATGAGAATTTCTTATATAAGATTTGCTTAGGCCATTCACATTTGCTACAGAATCATATCTGTATTTACTCTCCCAAACTTCTGGGTATACAGTTAAAGGAAACACATGGACAACCCAATGGATTACTGAATAATTAATGAATACAATACAAACTTTTAAGAATTCAGTATAGAGGGAAATTTCTACCAAATAATATCATCTCTGTCATTCTGAATTTAAAGGAAAGTCTTTATTTCCATGTCAGTGCTACACACTTGTAAAGTATAAAATGAATGCTCTAAAGCCGTAGGGTTAACATCTCAGCACATCTGCCAGATTGCTTCTATTCTCTGGACCGCAGGCCAACGCTCTAACCGCTGAGCCAAACTGGCCAGGGCAGATTGCTTCTATTCTCAGTCCCTTTTAATTTTTCACAAAATTCATCATGTGGGATAGAATGGAATCTTACCCAAACTGATCTGTAGGTGATTCTTTTTTTTTTTAATCTTTACCCAAGTACATTTTTGCAGTTATCCTCAGATAGAACGGGAGGGAGAGAGGGAGGAAGAGAGAGAGAGAGAGAAACATTGATGTGAGAGAGACACATCAACTGGTTGCCACCTGCACGACCCCAACCGGGGCCGGGAACAAACTGCAACCGAGGTACGTATCCTTAGTGGGAACCGAACCCGGGACTCTCTGGTCCATAGGCCGACGCTCTAACCGCTGAGCCAAATGGGCCAGGGACCGAGGATATTTTAAAATTTATCTTCAGATAGAGTGGGAGGGAGGGACACATAGAGAGAGAGAGATACATTGATGTGAGAGAGACACATCAATTGGTTGCCTGTAGGTGATTCGTTTTTGAAATCAAAATGTGATTAGAACTTTAACTTTGACATCCCTCTACAATATAAATTTACATTTTAAGTCATTTGTCCACATGAAATGCAGGCTAAAGAGGAAGAACTTTTCCCCTTTTATTTTATTTTATTGATTGACTGATTGATAATTCCCTATTCATTCTTGATAGGGAGGGTTAGACTTCTGGTCCTGGCTCAGGAAGTTGCGGTGGGAGAAGGAGAAGGACAGGGAGAAGCAAATTACATCTAATGGCAGTTGCTGTGTTACCAGGACGGGCCACCCCAACACACACACACGGCTTGGAAGTAAGCAGTTATGAGGGCAGAAGTGCTCTGATGACACTAGGAATAGAACTTTATAAACAGACTGTTAGCCAAATAATAATTATGTTGGTAAGATACATTTCATAATTTTCTTATCACCTCGCAGGGAATAATGATGAAGCAAGAATGACTGTGTCCTGTTAATTAGTACCAAGAAGTTCAGAATGGGCTTCAGGAACGCAACCGGAACATAGAGGATCTAGAGACGGATGCAGAAAATAAAATGTACCACTGGTTTACTCCCTTCTTCAAAGCTTCTGCGAATCTCACCCAAAGCCTCGTGACTTCCCCCCTCCTGCACAGGGAGGGCTGCACCTCTCCTGCCGCAAGTCAGGAAAGATATTTATTTTCATCTCATCTCAGTTCAGAACACTCACTCACTCACTCACCTGTAGGGGTTCGAGTTGGGGCTGATTAACTCAATGATATGCACTTCCTTATCCTGGGGCTGGCTGGACATCACACACCCTTCTGCTGCTTTGGGCTGAAGGTACTCAGCAAGGTAATTGAGTGAGAGAAAATTCTTCCCTATGTTGCACGTGGGAGGGAACACTTGATCTGAAAGTAAGGAAGCACAGAAAAATCTGTCAAACCACTGACCTCCATGGTAACGAGATTCAAAGTAAAGAAGGTGACAGGGACACTGAACAAGGGCAGCGCACAAGAACCATGAGTGCTAAGGAGGGACCTCAGATCTCTGCCACCTCTGCCCTGAAATGCCTCCCCTCTCGTCAGTGACCTCCTAGTGATCCACGCTAGTAGCCTCTTTTGGTCTAAATCCTCTCCTTTCCTGTTCTCTGTGATGCTTCTTGGTCCTCATCCATGTCCTCTGACCTATCTTCCAGTCTTTCTCACTGGCTCCTCCTCCTCTGCTCATCCTCTAAACACCAGTGGTCCTCAGTCCTGGGTGCACATCAGAATCCTCTATCCCCGAGTCTGACTCAGGATTTAGGGGAGCCAAGAAGCTTTCTTTGTGAAAAACTCCACAGTTGATCCTGAAAGAAAACCAAGGCTAAGAACTTCATTTCCCTCATCAATCTTTTTGTCTCATAGTCAACTTAGATGATCTGTAGCTTCCACGTGTACCTACCTAGATCATGAAGCCTTTTCTGAGGTGCAGACCTGTTTTATCACCCAACTACCAAGCACCTCCCACCTGAAAATCCACTAAATGCTTCACAGTCAGCACACTCCACACTGAACCCAATTATCTACCCTATCCCCGGGTATGTTCCTCTTTGGATATTTGCTATTTCAATTAATAGGAGAAGCAGTTACCTAATTAACCCTCTGGCCCACTATGTACAATTACTCATCCCCTCTTACTTATTCCTCACAGCACTCGATATTCTTAAAGCCGAGGTAGGAGTCTGGGGAACGCAGTGCGGGCAGACTTTTATCCCTTCCCACAATCGTGACACAGATGACTAATGTTTCTATGGTACTGCAGTTTACAAGGTGCTTTCACAAACACTGTCTCATCGCGCTGAGCGAGGGCTGCTCATCACCTCCACCAGGGAAAGTGATGCAAGGACCAAGAGTCTGAACACTCCCCCAACGGCACACGCCGTTTTACACAGCACTGTGGTTGATGGGATTTCCATTCAGCGGTTTAAATGTTTAAACAGAACTTGAAACTGCTGGCAGTGTGACAGCTGGGACCAGCGTCAAGGAAGTTCTAGGTGTAGCAAACTTTTTTCAGAAAGGGTAATTAATCAGAGCCCTGGCACTTTAATGAAACACACTCCTGCCCTTTTCATTTAATGGACGGGATGTCAGGGTTCAAATTCATGTGCAAGCCTCACTGAGGAGTAAGGAATCAGCCGAGGCACTCCCAAGGTTGGGTGGCAACAGGGCTCCATGCACCATGGCACCCCTAGTGCCATCCCTAGAACAGAGGGGACCAAGGTGCTCATGAGGCCCCCACTTGCAGGCTCGTTCCAAGTGAGCATCAGGTGTCTGCACTCTGCGTTCTTCCCTAACTACCCCCTCAGAGAGCAGAGGCCAGGACTCCGCCAACTCAGGCTGCTTGAGCAGCCTCCCCGCCACATCTGCTGAGGATTCTGCCAGATGAGCAGATGAGGAATGCACACCCTGCAGCTGCAGCCCTGCGGATGCCTCCCCCAGATCACAGGATGGAAAATGATACTGGGGTGGCAAGGCTGAAACGTCATTTAGAATCCGAAAGTATATGGATGGGCCATGGACAGGCCAGTCTTGAACTCAAGAGACTAGGACCCTCCTGGAAACTCCAGCCTGAAGAGTCAGTTCACAAGGGTACTGGTATAGTAGGTCCATGGTATAGGTTTCCCGAACTAACAAGCGGTGATGTGAGATTTGAAACAAAGAACAAAGCACTCTCATGTGGTGACCCTTAAGCCACTAATAAAGGTTGAATTGTTTAAAAGTTGCTGTCATTAAGGGCTCAAGTCTCAGATGCCATTGTCACTAAGTTGAATACGGTTTTTGTTGTGAATGCGTGCGTGTGCGTGTGCGTGTGCGTGTGCGTGTGCGTGTGTGGTTTCTTCCCCCCAAACGACCTTCTGCATGCCTGGCATCAAAACTTACAGCAACTGCCAAGTAGAAAGGAAACCACAAAGGGGAATCCCCGGGTAGAAACCTGGCACGTTTGGGGTAGGGGGAGGGGGAAATCACATGTGTATTCGTATTTCAGGAAAGGACTGACAAATGACTTTGAGACCTTGAATGATATATACTCTGACAGCCTGGGAGGTGATGCAGACTCCTCATTTTCCTGCTGCGGAAACTGAGGCTCCAGTGGTAAATCAGAGTGTTGCTTGAAGCTTCACAGCTAATGAGACCAGCTGGGATAAGAACCCCAAACTCCCCAGTTCTTCCACTTAGGGTACGCAGGTTAGAGCAGAAGTTCTCAAATAATCGTGAACATCAGAATCACCTACAGTGCTCCTTCAAGCACAGGTGACTGGACCCCACCCTCGAGTTTCTGATTCAATGGGTCTGGGGTGGGCCCCAAAAGTGGTATTCCCAAAGGATAGCAATGCTGCTGGGGCGGGGACCACATTTTGAGAACTACGAGGGATAAAGCAAGAGGAGGCCTGGGGTCCCTGGGCTGTAGGGTGGAGAAAGGTCAGTTTCTGGGAAGCCAGCTGCTGAGGTTTGCTCAGTAGTCAAATCCCTGTGGTCCGCTGACAGACCTAACCCAGGACTCTTGTTTCCTTTCGATATTCCTCTCCATGGTGTGGGCCAATGACGTATACCCAACTGGTGACTGGAGTCAAGTTTCAGGGGCTCCAAAGGTGCTACCAAGAAGTAAACCAGTTTTTACTGGACTGGACACCATGTCCTTTAAGATCTTCCCCAACCCAGTGTGTGGCCTTGGAGAAGTCCCTTAACCCCTACTCTAAGGGCAGGTGCCGGCGTGCGCAGAAGCCTGTGCACGCCGAGAGAACAGAGCCCAACGTTCTAAATGTTACAATTGCACATTTTCTTATTCTAACAAATTCCAAGGGGGTAATCAACATTCTTTCATGCTGCTAGAATTCTTTTTCAGAAATGCAGACCACTGGCTAGGGCTTAGAGCCTTTGTGAAAAGAGATTTTTTTTATTTTGTTCCAAATGGACTTGACTTTTATTCGCTATCTGACTACCACGACAGTTTAGCAACAACCTTCAACTTTGCAATCCCAATTCTCATCTAAAACTCCTCCCCTCTTTACTCTGCTGAACAAGTCTTTCTATCCAGGTGGCTCACTTTCATTTTCAGGTTGGACTTATTTGGCTGAGACCTCAAATATAGCATCAGGCAACAAGCATTCGGGTCAAGAGTCAGGAAACTTGGGTGTGAGTTCTGGCTTTGCCACTTGCTAGTCACATGGATCTGAGCGAGTGAGCTTTGCCCTCCACCAAACCCGCTGTAAAATGATGGGAACAACGGTCTCCTCCTGGGGTTCCTGGCGCGGTTGAGCGGGGTGCACGGGTGAGCACCTGATGCACACAGCACACTCTCCAGCATCAGCGTCTGCCTTTCCTGCGTCTGTCAGATAGCCCAGAGCCCAAAAGGGCTGGGCACGAGCACTCGGTGACGCACCCGTGCTGCCATGCTGTCTGCAGGAGGTGACCACTGCTGCAAATTCAGCAGAGAGCAGATGGACGCTGCGGACCTGAGGGCAGCGTTCACACAATCACCTGACTATAACAAGGGCCCTTTCACAAGAGTTGTTATTTCTAGTCATTTATGGGAGTTCCAAACATATTCAACCAAAAATAATAATGAAAAAAGTTATTAAAAAATAATACACTTCCAAAATTGAGTCAACTGAATATTTATATCCCTCCGCAAAGGCAAGGGAATGAAAATAGGCAATCTCTTATCAAGGCCTTACAGTTAGTTCCTTTCTCTAAGAATTTAGCCTTGCAAAAGGCCTCAGTGTTAAAAATATATTCACACACTTTTCCTCTGCTATTGTCCAAAATTTAATTGATGTCTCAAAATCATAAACTGACATCGGCTTCAAATGTTTGCAAAATACTAGGTAAGGAGAAGCCCTAACTGTTGACCCATTCTGCCAACTCCTTCTCCCTACCACTCCTTATCACCCCCCGTCTCACGCTCTCGGCTTCTTGCCCTCCACTCAGTTTTTCTGACTTCTGTATATGGCTGTCTTCTAAATCCTCCACAACCTCCTCCTCCTGTCTCGGCCAGGCTACTCCCCATTTCTCACTTGGCCATTACCAGGCCTGTCTGCTCAAAAGGAAGACGGGAAGGAGGGGGTGTGGGAGGAACAGGCCCCCGTCATCCTGCAGGTCCCTGCCAGCTCCAGTGTTCGTAATTATATGATTCCTTACCCTAACCACCTGGTCTCAGAAAAGAAAACAATTGACTGTCATAAATCAGTCATTAATTGAAACCACATAAAATTTACCTTCCCCCACTTTAATATAAATGTTTCGGGCTATCTTGAGTTCAGTGAATGAAGTGACTGCTCCGTACTCCTTTCGGGCCCAATTTAACAGATGTTCGTTCCCATGTGGGAAGCTCCTCTCTTCTGTTTTTGCTGACAAGGAGAAGTTTCTTGATGAAAACTGGACCACAGAACCCTCAGAAACCTAGAGGAAAGAAAAGTGCATAGTGAATGTGGTCCACTGACAGACCTAGGCCAGGACTCTCGTCCTGGAGCTGAATCGTAATCAGAGCGCGCTGAACCAGACAACTGATGGATGTTTGTCAATCCAACCTCTTCCCTTTTTCAGCAGTTGATTTGAGAAATAACCTCAAGGCTACGTCTTCCTGCTAAAGACAAAGCTACCAACCACGCAGCATGTCCCTTTGAATTTTTAAAGAACTCTGTGATGACAGACTGCAGAGTGCATTGTATCATATGAATTCTCATTGCTATTTTCCAGATACCTAAACTGTAAGCCCGTCTTTCAAGTAACGTGCTTTGAGTCAAGCAGGAAGTCTTGGTGAGTGTTGTCATGGGCTTTTAACGGGCTTCAGGATCAGGGCAAGCAATCTCAAAGCCCTGCCAGCAGGTGAGCTAGGTTTCCAAGTGTTCCACTGCTGCAGCATCACCACCACGGGGCATAGCGGAGTCCCTTCGGTTTATGTTCCCGAGCGCTGAGAGAAGAAGAATGGCCAGAGACTGCCGGTGTTAGCTCCATCACACTACTTCCCGGCAGCAAGATGAATGTGCATTACAGTTTATTTTGTAAGACCCCCAACTCCCCACAGATAATGAAGTCAAGAGGCTGTTGGATTCAGCCTAATAAAACTTGCGGGATGATTTATGCAAGTTCCACACTCTTGCTGAATGTATTAGACCACTGTTGACCTAGCAAATGATGGTCTATCTAATTAATTCATACAAAGGAGTAAAAGTATCATCTTGTTGCTATACTATAATCAAAGTTAGTTACTGATGAAACTAGACATGTCATCTTTGCTGGCTAGCATTTATAAAATGACTGATTTTATCAGAGGGTGAAAACTCAAAATGTGAGCAAAAAGATTCATAGATTCCCAAGTCATAAAACTATAAATGTCTTATATTAAATTCCAGATTAACTATTTATCTCGAATGAAAAGCAAGCAGGTTCTAAAGAGGCTATAAATAGCCAGACTAAAAGCAGGTTGAGGGCAAGGATTCTTGCTTAGTGTTCTATAGCTTAGAGCAGAGTTTTCCACCTCAACACACACACACATACAAAGTAGTACTTAGGTACTGTGCTAGGCATTAATACTTTCTATTTGATCATATATACATATTTTTTTTTAATGCTAGCAAAGAAATACTTCACCAAATTGACTCCATGACCTACTAATGCTGTGCTCTCCCTCTTGGCTGAAAGCTAGAAGCACCCAAGAGCTTCTAAATATCCGGAGGCCCAGGCCACACCCCAGGTCAATGAGAATCTTTGGAGTGGGACTCAGGCATCAGAATATTTTAAAGCTCCCTCGTGATTCCAATGTTCATCAACAATTGAGAAGTCCTGTCTCAATGGGTACTGAGGCATCCATAATCTGAAAACCACTGTTATAGGTCAGGCCCAGTGTGGGTACCTCGAAGCTTCCTACACCAGTGGTCCTTAACCAGAGGTGATTTTGTCCCCCAGAGGACTTCTGGCAATGTCTGGAAACATTTTTTTATTGTCACAACTGGGAGAGAGGAGCTACTGCCAGCTAGAACACAGAGATCAGAGGCGCTGCTAAACATCGTACAGTAATACACGGGGCAGCTCCCTCAGCGAAGAATTATCCAAATGTCCACAGCACCGTGACTCAGAAACCCTGGTCTATACTTCTGACTGACTGAACGTTACTACCACTCACATTATCTGCCGGATCTGCAAACTGGATCCCCTCTTCTATAAACTGGGCTGTTTAGTAATTAATAAAGAATAAGAGAACCACTTCACACCTGTCAGAATGGCCACCATCAACAAATCATCAAACAAGTGTTGGCGAGGGTGTGGAGAAAAGGGGACTCTAGTACACTGCTGGTGGGAATGCAGACTGGTGCAGCCACTGTGGAAAACACTATGGTGTTACCTCAAAAAATTAAAAATTGAACTGCCATTTGACCCAGTGATCCCATTTCTAGGAATATACCCTAAGAAGCCTGAAACACCAATCAGAAAGGATATATGTACCCCCATGTTCATAGCAGCACTATTTACAATAACTACGATCTAGAAACAGCCCAACTGTCCATCAGTAGACGAATGGATAAAAAAGCAGTGGTACGTATACACAATGGAGTACTACACAGCTGTAAGAAAGAAAGATCTCTTATCCTTTGAGACGACATGGAGAGACCTGGACAGTATTATCCTAAGTGAAACAAGCCAAGCAGAAAAAGACAAATACCACATGATCTCACTTACATATGGAATATAATGAATACAACAGTCTGAGGAATAGGGTAGACCCAGAAACACGGAAGTAGAGTACAGACTGACAACCCTCAGAAGAGGGGGTGGTGGGGGGTGGGAAGAGATAAACCACAGAACTTATATGCATGTACGCATAACCAATGGACATGGACAACAAAGCCGGGGGTGGGGGGGGATGGGGAGGAGGGTGTCAATGGGGTAAAAAAAGAGAAACATCTGTAACAAAAATAAAATTTAAGAAATTAATTAATTAATTAATTTTAAAAAAAGAATAAGAGAACCTTTCTGGTTTGTATTGACTTGGGAAGCCCAGAACGAATTGTTAATAACCTGACCACAGACTATGACCACTAACAGTAGTTGTCATTTATTGAACACCTACTATATATGAAGCATCACACAGAGCTACCAAGTGAGGTACTGACATTTGCTAAATGTCCCAATGCCAGTTATAAACAAATCCAGTGGGCACCGCTTAGCTACGGCTTTGTTTCGATACTGCAAAGAAAACCCCCTGATCCCTTTACCTGCCTAACAACAGCCATGACAACCTACATATAAATACCCTGAGGCTTAGCTACTCATCAACACTTAACTTCAAACAATGTTTATCTGATTTTCTGACTTAAGCACTGTAGTAAAATCTTCTTTTTACTGAAAAGCACTTGTGTTAAAAAGTCATTTTTATTAGGCCTGTCACCGAAAAAACCCACAACAGTCGGAGGCCTCTGTCCTACTGCCAGTGCAGTTTGGAGTGTTCAGACGAGTATCCCTGGCTGTTCTGTTCCTTTTGTTCTCATTCATGTTATAGCCATAAAAATAAGACCCTTGGGCTTTAAATACATTATACATGGAGTATATTTCTTCAGAGTGGAAGGTGGGATACATCACCCTGGAACATTCCAGAGGCAAGAACATGAGCTGTGTTAATAAGAGAAGAAATAGGGAGCAGCTTTGGAATGTACCCTGGAGTAAATGAAAAGTGATAGCATGATGCAGCGGAGAAGGGGCTGGTCCCTCCATCAGCCCTGCTCCTCTGCCTTCTCCTGGGCCAGCAGCACGAGGATCATACGTTCCGGGCAAAGGGATCTGGAAAAGGAGTTAACTGCCACTCCTCAGGCGTGTTCCAGTTAAGAGAGGAAAGCTGCCAGGAGCAGAAGTGTCCCCGACTGCAGGTCAGTGGAAATTTCTGTGCAGCAAGGGGTTAGTCAGCTCCTGCTGACCGCCAGTCCTCCTGGCTCTGACAAAGCTGGACGCCGACCCCCACTGCGTGTTAGAAGGCATTGGTCCTCCCACCTGATCCTCAGGAAGACCTGAGGGGATCCCCGTGGCAGAGAGGAGAACATCTCAGAGAAGCTAATGGCTCACTCAAAGTCAGAGAACAGCACCAGGGCAACATCAGAACAGGAGACTTCTGACTCTGGGTCACAGATGGTTTCTGCTTGTACCCTTCCAGAAAGAAGACCTTGCTAGCTCCTAAGGCAGGAGATTCTGTTCTTACTTACTGTCTGTAGGATTTGCCTTCCATCCACTTGTCTGAGCTATGTCTCCCAGACCAAAGAATTCCTTCCTCTTTCCTCCATGAGACATGCCTTCAAATGTTTGAAGATGTCACTCGACCCTGCTCACGACTTCACTTCTTCAGGGCACTGTAGCTAGTCTCAACTACTCCCAGACACTGTGGATGTCAGACCTCCACCAGCAGAGTCTGAAATGTGGGGCCCAGGACAAGACTCAGGGTTGGGTGTGGTCGGACAAATGTACTGTGAGGGTTAATTTTACATGTCCACTTGACCGGGCCACAGGGTGCCCAGCTATTCGGTCAAACACTCTTCTCAGCACTCCTGTGAGGGTGTTTTTGATGAGATAACATTTAAATTGGTAAATAAAAAAGATAGCCCTTCGTAAGGTGTGGGCCCCATCCAATCACCTCAAGTACAGAACAGAACAAAAGGCTGGCCCTTGCCCCACAGTGAGAGAGAATTCTCCTGCCCAGCAGCCTTCAGATTGGGACCTCAGCTCTTCCTGGTCCTCTAGCAGACCACTGTTAAGGACTAGGGTACTTAGTGCAGGTCAGAGGGGTCACCATTGAGAGTTCATCAAAACACCTAACATGTTTTAACAAGATCACTCTGGTTGCCATGTCCCATCTACGCTGAACAGAGACAAGGAGCAGGAAACCAGCACTCGACTTCTGGAACTACCCAGGGCAGGAAGAGTGGCAGCTCACACCAGGGCGGGTGCTGGTGATGATGGTACCTACATCCTTTGGTCTTTATTTTATTAGACTGACACTCTTCACATCCTTCCCTTACACCATTGATTTTTTCAATATAAAAGCAAAAGCTTATATTTATTCTTGAGATCCATATTTCAAGTCTTAAGAGACCACATAAAAATCTTTATTCTGTTAGTTGTAGATATCTCTATATGTCGTATGAATACCTTCTACACAATCATCTAAATCTCTGAGAAGCTGAACAAGATCAGGCTCAGTTCTGGGACCTAATGGATACACTCCTCCCACAGTGACCCAAGCACATTAAACAGTACTTGCTGGGGTCCCCGGTTGTCCGCTGACTACAGAGTGACCCCACAAACTGTCCTCCTGTCTGCAAGAGCATCGTGCTAGAACCTATCAAGAGCCCTCCTGAAATAAAGACGTCGTATCAATGTCATTACTCTTCCAGTCAAAGCTCTTGTCCTGCCTAATC